TTAATTGCGGTCCATATTTTCCGGCGACCACCATGATCAAAATGAGATGTTCAGATAATGCATACATACAATGGTATACTGTTTTTTCTTTAGGGCTACCCTGTACATGCATTTAATTCGACTTACAATCAAAGGCCATTGATATGTTCGATATTCAAATTGACAATGGCTATTGAGTGATAGACATTAATTAGCCAATGTATAGAGGCATGCATCAGGTTTATCTCATATAATTGTCCCATCCTCATGTCTCACAGCTTGCCCAAACGCCCAATGCCTCCATTGTAGAATCATATGAACTATCCCATTTATCCCCTATCTGTTATCTCATGTCCCTTTCTTCAGGTTCATACGATAGTTATTCGATATCTCTCCCCATAACTATTGTTATCAGTTATTATCTAAAACCAAAGTCATAGGTCCAATCGATAATTATCGCATGTCCCTTTCCGTGTCCCCTTTTAATTGCTTATTGTCTCAGAACCCTCTAATAGATTTATTTTGATCCCATTCCCCTGGCAACAGAGGTTAGGTATAAAGTAGGGAAGCTATCTTTTAAGAAGCTGTAGTCAAACAAATGCGAACTCATGCTCCTCTCCCGAAGGTTAAAAGAGCATGATCACGTTATTCTATTTACGCTTTACTCATAAAAACAAAACATGTACTTTCAGGTTGCGATGTACAAACAAGAATGATCAGAAGTATTTTATAGTTTTATGCCTGAGGCAAAGCCCGGTGCAAAGCTTTAAGAAATACAGGAAGTTAGATGCTTCTGTCGTGCTTTCTTTGATATGTGCGCTGGATTGTAGGTAATAGATATGTTTTAGCCAATAATATAAGAGTACATACACATTAAAAACATCTAAATCACAAAAGTCTAAAGTCAACGTAACATCTTTCACTTGTACATGATTGTTGACTGATTGGATTTTAGGCAATGCATTAGGCTTATATTGGATTGAATGGTTGTCTTGACACGAAAATTACATTGAAGCCCCCTCTCTACCTATAGAGCAATCTCCGATTTCAAAAATGAGTTCGAAGACTTATTACAAGGACGGACATATTAAACGCTATTCTACCTATTGTTACCATCAAGTTACCAACAACTAAGGCGAATTGAGAAACTTTTTTATTTCCGAGTTAATATCTAGGACTCTTGCAAAAATTGCATCATCCTAGCCAAGAACTCTCATGAAATCGAGAGTCGATGCATGTACGTGTAACCTATGCTGGCAGTTTTAACTTGAATGCGCCTGTTTTGAATATTGGATGGGGCTTTTTTATCAAACGAACTCCATGACCTAGTATCTGATTTCAATGGTTTTGATGGATCTGTTACCGTCTGCGCTTATACTGTAAAACGAGTCATCAAGGAGAGATGAGGTTTTGAAAATATTAGTAATCAAAAATATGTCTTGCCCAAGAAGTGAGTTGTTTCATGCATATACACAGTGTAAATAAAAATGTACAGACCGAATATTCGAAAAGTTTAGTCTACTCGCCACTTAATTTCATTCTCATTGCACTGGTGATCCACTCGATAAACGGTTCGTTTCGGTAAAAAAATGTCGGAACGATTTTTCCTTTTTCCTAATTTAACGTTGTCGGCAGAATTCCCACGACATTTTTATCACTAAACGTGTGTCAGTATCATATGTTTGAGAAATGTATATGTTTGCGAACAAATACTCCAGAAGACAACAAAATCGTCGATTTAATTCGTCACTATTGTTACCGAAACGGAACGGGTTAAAAGCGCAGACCTTAACCGTTTTTGAAGTTCCGTTTAGGTAACAAAAGTGAGGTATCAAATTGACGATTCTGTTGTCTTCTGTACTATTTGTTCGTAAACATACATGCATTTTCATAGGCATGTGAAACTGATACACGTTTGTGATAAAAATAGGGAGTAAAAGCTTGCAATGTTTTTTCACAACCTAAACGTGAACGGAAAATAATAAGCGATGCATTTGTATGGGCGATTGGTCATACGTATAGGTTGGCGTTTCGATTTTTTCGATTTTATATGCAAGCTCAAACTCCCTTATGTCGTTGGAATTCAGCCGACAACGCATGAAATAAGAAAAAAGACAAATCGTACCTTCGAGGTCCGACATTTTGTTACCGAAACGGTTCGTATCGGTAGCCAGCGTAATCGAATTTATCACAGCAGAGAAAAATGTTCACGAGAGCTTTGTTATATAAAACTATATTTCAAGAATAATCATACCATACAATTACAAACAATTACAATGTCTTATTTCTGATCAGATTTTCATTTTCAATGTATGTATATTACCAGTTTTGCTTTGGTTAAGAATTTGACTTCTCTTGGATATTGAAACTTCTTTTTATCTTTTATATTTATATATCCCTATTATTTGGTCAAAAATAATTCTATCAAAAAGTTCTCACATTACTTCTTATTTTTCTACATTCATAAAAATGGTGTTCAATGTAGTCAATTGTATTACAATTTTCACAAAATGAACAATCTTTAATTCTAAATCAATTTAATATCTCATGAGAGTTCATGAGAGTTCATGAGAGCTAGTATCGTCGTGAATACCTTACTAGAAATTATTTACACATTTAAAATTGATTTATTGTTTACGATACCACGGCAAACATGAAGGCGATCAGATATGATTGTGTCAGTGCCGCCATGACTCCGTCTAGGAAGGGCAAAATGATCTGTTTTATATTTACACTAAACAGTTTTTAGCCATTGTAATCATAATATATTTTTTATCTAAAGTGTGAGCTATCATTTGTAAATCAATATGATGTCAAAAATGTCTTTGAATGCGTAATTTATTTTCATCATTAAATATACACGTTCGTTTATATTTGTACATGTATGTCATGATAACTCAACAGTACAATTTGACAATATCATGAATAACATGACTTTTCGTTTTTAATAAATATACTTATATATTTAATGTTTATGATACATACGTATACACAAAGTCAGGTTAAAATATAAGTCCACACATCAGAATCGAACATGTATTTGTTCATGTTCGATTCTGATGTGTGGACTTATATTTTAACCTGACTTTGTGTATACGTATGTATCATAAACATTAAATATATAAGTATATTTATTAAAAACGAAAAGTCATGTTATTCATGATATTGTCAAATTGTACTGTTGAGTTATCATGACATACATGTACAAATATATTTTACGAAATGATTGCAGAGGCAAATCGTGCTGAACCATTGTATCCTCCGATTGGAAAATGTAGAAATTATCAATCAAAGGAGACAGCTTTTGGGTAGCTTTGGGGTAGGATGGACGCTGCGTAGTCGATGATTAATTTAAAGTTAAAATCTATGTAAATTGCAGATCAGATTAACTCTTGATATCTTTTTTGGTTTCATTTGTCCATGTGGTTGTATTTGACGACATGTACTTTTACCTTTGAAGGTTGAACAATGTTAAGGTTGGAGTTATTTTTACATACACTGTTGCTCATATGTATGGATTCCATAAGAGCAATTATTTCTGAAATGCAACTCAATAATATTACCGTATTTTATGAACAAGTAATTTAAAAAATCAATTCTTTGATATTTCAGAACGCATTAAAATCGGTAATGGTATTTATGAATTATGAACAACGTATATTTTTTTTATCATATTATCGTATTCTGTTGTGCCTGAAACGTTTTATGATACATGAGAGTACCAATTTGTTTACAATTAACACAAGCCATGGACCGATGTCCTAATTTGGATTGTTGATTCATCTAAACAATCAGGAAAACATTCGAGAGGTCTGCTTCCAACGCACAACGCTAAACGACAATAGGGAGTTTAAGCTTGCATATAAAATCGAAACGCCAACCTATATGTATATACAAATGCATCGCTTAAATATTTTCCGTTCACGTTTAGGTCCCGGGGGTTTAGGTTGTGAAAAAAGGCTAGCTTAAACTCCCTATTACGAATATGACACAGTCTATGAAACATCCCTCTAAAAATGAAAGTGTGTAACTTGGAAATAAAACCTTTTTATGTCAGGAATGTTGTGTCAAAATCTCATAAAAAATACCTAAACAGAAAATCGAGAACAGTGACCCAGAACTTGTTCTGTCGCAGTTTCTAAGTTATAACTACTGGAGGCGTATGGCGTGTATTGTGTCATTGTACGATGGGGTTTACCGTTATGAACTTAGGTCTCTTTGCCATTTCTCATCCCGATTCCTCCTTGCTTTTATTTGGGAATTATGAATTACCTAAAACACTTGTCAATGTACCCTTTCTCACGTATGAAGTTTAAAGAACTAGAGGGAGTTACATTTTACAAAAGTGACAGGGCAATGGGTCAAACTAAACATCTATTTTGTGTTTTTACGTTTTTCAACCACCAGTGAAGATGAGAAGATGAGCATTACCTTTTGGATATTAATGGCCTTAATACATGCACGTAATCATGGAAGACAATGACCCAGAAACCCCTCTTTGAATGAGCCATGCATGTGTTCTTCCATGTACGTGCATACATCCCCGATCGGAACTTCTCATTGGATAGCACATCAAATCCTGCCAATGTGTGGATCTTGATTTTGTTTTTTAATTATAGTTCGGAATTGTATGCTAATTTTGATGATTTTTTAAATCGCCAAACACAAACAGGCAAAATGGGACTTCCGGTTCCAAAACTTAAGGAGGGAAATGTACATAGACGTACGTACTTGTAAGTACAAGTGCCCGGAAACAAGTTACCAAGTTTACACAATTCTATCCTATGAGATGTAGACATATTGGTCAAAACTCCTGATAATTTCTTAAGAGTAGTCCTGCTTGATACGGGGGTCGATCCAGGGCCATTGTGTTTGACTACAAATGAACTACTCGGTTGGGTGGAAAAATACATAACTCTTGCAGAAAATAAGTCCATCAAAACAATTTTGAATAATTATTTTATTATTTGTATTTTAAATGCTAGATATGACCAGCAATCAATGTACGTATATGAATGCGATGGGACTGTACAATGTCAAATATGAACACTTCATCTTTAATCATGAACTCAAAACGGAAGTGTTATAGTTCAATTCTTCATTGGCATGCCATACGCGTTTATGAAATATAACAGCAGTATAAGCGATCTTAGTGAAAACAACTACTTCCAATTACACAATAACTGCACTGTACTATTATATAATTGTCTAGTAATCTCAGCGTTTCCCATCTGAATAATTCTATAATACTTCAATTGTTGATTACAAAAAAGGGTTGAATGATGAAGTCTGTGAGGTAATTCAGTATTACCACAGGCTGGTATCGAAAGATTTGTCCGCTGTGACGGAGCATGCTATTTTTCATAAAAACACTAAGAATGCTTCACGATTTATTTTTTAACTCATATGTTTCGTTATATCAAAGATAATTACTTACTCCATGCAATGGATATATCATTTGCGTGTAACCTTCACTTCTGTTTGAAGTCCAATAACGCTAGGAGTAAAATCTATTGAAAACGGCGCCAGAGTATCAAACTCTAAAATGTACCATTTCTTTTTTAACTTTTTAATGGCATGATATAGTGACACGATAATATTAACATATGTTTTCACCATAAGTCTGAATGTATTAATGAGATATTAATGCATTGGGTCTTTTTAATGTTTTTATAAAAAATAATATTAATATTTTTTGTCCGCTGTGACGGAGCATTTTCACAGTTCACATTTGCAACTGCTCCGTCACAGCGGACAAAAAAATTAAACATTATTTTTTATAAAAGAATTAAAAAGACCAAATACATCAACATCTCATTTATACCTTCAAAGTTATGCTGAAACCATGTGTAAATATTATCGTGTCACTATATCGTGCCATTAGAAAGTTAAACAAGAAATGGTACATTTTGAAGTATGATACTCCGGCGCCATTTTCAATACCTTTTCTTCCCAGCGTAATTGGACTTCAAACAGGAGTGAAAGTTACCCGCAAATGATATATCCATTGCATGGAGTAGGTAATTTTGTATGGTATAACGAAACATATGAGTTAAAAAATAAATCGTGAATTATTCTTAGTGTTTTTATGAAAAATAGCATGCTCCGTCACAGCGGACAAATATTTCGATACTAGCCTGTGATTACGCTGAAATAGTCGTAGGTTTATCACCGGTTCCTGTCTCTGTCAAGGAAATGAGATATACAGGGTTACTCATTTCATTTGTACCGCTCTTATTGTTTTGGTCTAGCTGTTGCTGATTTACGCTGTATTTTTCAGCGCCATCTATATCATCATTATTCCCAGGAAAATATTTGTTAAATGTGAAAACACGAAGTTTGTACAAACCGAAGACCCCAGTGTGCAGTAGAGGTAGGACAATTATTCCTAGGATGAAAACAACTAGGATTGCTCTCCCTGGATTCCGCCAGTCCAATACACTGTAGATGTACTCTAAATCATAAGCGTTGGTGCCACCCGCAGCTTGATAGATGGCGCTGAATAGTGCGTAGATTATGACGTAAATGAGCGGATAGATGAAGTGGAGAAGTCGCACGGGGATGGCGGTGAATAGTAAGTCAATTATTACATAGACACTGTTGACCGCATGAGTTGCAGCGTCTACTGGATAAACAATCCCACCTAATAAAATATAATATTACTATGGTGATCATAAAACTCTTGTAATCATACAATAAATAAAATCAATAAAAGTAAAGCATCTGCAATAAGGCATGTGCCGCCCATGACTCATGAGCATGCAAATTACAAATAATGTCCAGGGGTTTTGCTCTTGATATCATCAGCTAACGGCAATGTACGGAGAATGCAGAGACATAAAAGTTAGTTTATGTCTGGTCTGGTAACTGTAAAGTCTGCCACCTATAAGTTATTGACGTTTTTTATTTTATATTAATAGTATTTCAAACAAGATTTATGTCGACGCCTTCGCCATCTATTCTGTGGTGTCCCTTGCTATTTGAATACATATACGTTGGGATAAACCCTATATCCCGAACTTCCCATTACATAATCATAACAAACGTCCTCACCTGAATATATGAGAAGCCAGTAGCCAAGGGTGACAAGTATCGCTACTGATGTTGAAATGTTGTAGAGACACCATAGTAACCCTACTGGTCTCCTTAGTGCACCCACGTGGAGCTGGCAGCGTTCAGACATTCCTAAAAGTGAACCATTCTACCCTCAATGACCATTATTCAAATTGTAACTTATTTTGATGCATTCTGTTATAACATGGCGTTCATTAAATACTGACAAAAAGCATGCAACTTTTTTCTGTCTTAAAACTCAATTTTTATGTCGCGATGTTCAGTTACATTCTCGTATAGAGTGTTAAAGTTTCAGATTGCTAAATCACGGGAATGTGTTTACGGGAAAACAAAAAATATCTCTTTTTCTTTCAGAGTCGCAGAACTGTGAAGTAGATGCATGGAGAACGCTCGACTCCTTGCATCTATGAAGAACTTGTCAAATATTTATTATAGGAATAAATATGACATAATATGAAGATGTAAACCCCTCCAAGAGTTTGAAAACACAAAGTCCTAGAGTAAGCGCTTTCAAAGCTCTTTTCAAAACTTTTTGTCTGAATTAGAATTTTCCGTCAATTATAATCACAATAGGCCAGGACTTGAAGACTTTACTTGAGGAAATGAGGAAATTGCCAACAACAAAAGCATTTAACGCACTTTCCAATGTGTCAGGGTTGGGGTTTGCATCATCTAAGCTTCTCATGGTGTCTTTGCTACAATAACATGGTCGGCAGACCCGTAGCCAGCTTTTGCCAAGGGGCGGGGCGTCACTTTTTAAAAATGTCCAGGGGGGTTCACTTTTGACAACTTTGGCCCAAACATTGCCCAAATCACTTTGAAAAGTGCTCAGAATGTTGAAAAACTACATGATTTTGAAAGAATTTTTGGCCAAAGGGGGTTTACTCGACCCCCTGGCTATGGGGCTGGTCGGGATGGGTGTCCTTATTGTTACTGAGTCCCGATCCGCTTGGCATTGTCCATAGTCTTTTAAAGATCTCTGAATTTCTGCAATGGCGGACGAAGACTAAATAAAATTTAAAACTCACCTTCGATTTTGGTCATGTAATAAATACAACATGGCACCTGGACCAATGAGGTGAGAGTCAGCAAGAGGTAAGACCAATTGGTAAGATAGATGAACCACGTGACCCTATTGGCCTCCTTAGAGTACCATGGGTAGACCAGAACTCCGCTAAGGATCGTCCAGGTCACGTGCCATAGCGCCCAGAAACATCTGTACCCGATGTACAATTTTAAAGGAATAGGCCACTGTAATATGCAAAATCATTAATGAATTTATGGAATTTTAAGCTTTAACATACGACTTCTTATCTATACTTTGCATGGGACCTTTAAATGCTTCCCACGTTTCAGAGTTCCACATTTACCTGAGGAGTGACGAAAAGCCAAGTCCTGTTGTCATGTAATCCGAAATTTTTCAATCGAAATTCTTCTTGAAATGTTTTCGCACAGCACGATCGACACGAGCAGCCCATTATACCGTCAACCTGTTTGGTAGTTTTTACGAGGACTATACGTGTATATGAATTGATCACTGAGGATTACGTACCATAAATACCACCACTTGCAACTATCAATGGTCGTATTTCAACGAGAAAGTGAAATTTGGTAAATTATGAGTTCGAATTCGAACTTGTAGTGTCAAACGTTACCCATTAACAACAATTCGGTTTGAGAAATATCGGTAAGTGTGACATTGAGAAAGAGCGCAACTTGCCAATGATACACACTGATGAACAAGGCAGACCACAATGATGAACAAGGCAGACAACACTGATGAACAAGGCAGACCACACTGGTGAACAAGGCAGACCACACTGATGAACAAGGCAGACCACACTGGTGAACAAGGCAGACCACACTGATGAACAAGGCAGACCACACTGATGAACAAGGCAGGCCATATGTTTTTGAGGCTGTTCGGACAGCGCGTGGTAGCGCATGCACTTTTTCTCCAAACAAGCTCCTAAAATTCACTGAAATTGCCGTTTTTCGATCTTGGTGCGGAATGTCACTTTTACTTGCTAATAATTTTCAGTTTCCATGTTATTGCAATGGAATGGTTTTACAAAATTGATAAAAGAGTCGCTTATTCTGCTAAAGTCTAAATCCGAAAACCCCGTTTTTGGTCTTAGGCATATAACTCTAAGAGCAGGGCACACTTGAAATTAGTATTCTAATAGCGATAACATTGCTTTTTTGTCTTGGGCATAATTTTTCTAATTTTTCATATATCGAACTTTTCTTTAAACGAGCTTTTTATCAAATACGAATACTGCCAGTCAGACATTCAATCCCAATATCAAATTATTGCTAATAGCGGTATAGTAGTGATGTTTCTGCTTATTTCAGGTCTGCCCTATTGGCAGTTTTCTTTAAAAAATAAAAATTTAAAAATTGTCTCTTAATAAGCCCAACTTCCGAATTGCAACAGATGGTCTAAAATTATTTCTTGTATTCAACCCCCCCCCCCTCCTCCTCTAAACGATACCCTTAAAAGATCTATACTTGAAAACGATCCCTTCTTTTGTTTGAAATCAGATATCATGTTTACATTTTGAATAATAATTAATCAACACGTAAATCATTATCAAACATTGTCTTAAGTAGTGGAGTAGTAGCTTAGGGGGAAGTTAGTAAAGGTCCATAGGTACATACTTGCATACAGTAACGGGAATTAGGTCAGGTCATCACCACTCAAGTCACATGATGAAACATACAACATGGTGGATGGAATATCTATAAAGAAATGAACTTATAAGAACTTTATGTATCAACTATGAGTTTTACTAACTACCTGGACGTTTTATGACCTTATAAGGAGATCTAACGTAATAAGTATACAACAGCATATAAAATGGCATTGAGGGAAGTGAAAGTGTGCCTCTTAGGGGTAGGTATAGTACTTCCTCTATTTGATTCAGTCATGATTAACGCCCATCATTGCTTTTTCAATCGGATTCTCCTCGTACCGTAAATACTGGGGTTCTGGTGGTCTGGACGAACCTTCCTCGCCTCAATGTTCAAAGAGTAATCGATTCCTTACTATCTTAAGATGAATGTGTACGTTTGGAATTTTTATGCAGTCTTCTTTGAAATCACATATCATTTTCAAGAATGCATAACTAAACTCATTGCATATGATCTACATCTTTACACACTTATCTTAACTGCAAATATGAAAATTGGAATTCTCGGGTCATTTTTAAAAAAGTGCGAGTATGGGGAGAATGGGACTGAACTTTTTGAATCAAATGGTCCAAAATTTCTAAAGTTAAACCAAAATATTCTCTGAAGGAGCAACTTTTTCGCATCCGGGTGGGGAGTCAATCGGTACCACCCCCCCCCCCTCCTCCCGAAATTATTGTGCGGGAGTATATGTTATTCAATAGAAGAAGTTAAAATCATAAAAGAAGGAATACTACGGTTGCAGTCTCATAAATAAATAATAAATAATGTTCAAAGTCCTTTATGTACCTAACATGTAATCAGTTGAAGAGTGTATATTCCATGTTTACGTGTCATTGACACCTTAGTTAAAGTACCATTTAATTTAAAGAGTTTTCACATTATGAAAATTTGATTTTCAAATAATATACTAGAATATAGTATATAATTCAAAGTTTTTTAGGTCTAATGTCAATGCTTTGATATCAATAGTGAAATAGCATATCAAAGCTGATGTACAGGGTGGGCCAAAAATGCTTCTCTTTTTAAGACACTATAACTTTTTTATTTTCCAACCTCCATACCCCAAATTTTGCAGTTATGTAGTGCCAGGGGTTCTTAGTAATAATGTAATGTAACAAGTCCTCCAACTTGGATTATAGTTGATCTAAAAGAGGAGTTCAATTGGTCCGCCACCCTATTTGATGATAGATTTTAGTTTTAGTCGCCTTGCTGATATAGCAGTATCAATAAAATGTTTGCTTAGTTTTTTTCATCCTGTCTTAATTGCCAGCTTTAGTTGAGCAATTTTTTAGATTTCATACAAACTCCTGGAGACTTTTCCATACCCTCACTGGGGTTTGTATCAGGGCTATTAGCTTGGAGGTCATCAGGCCGTATCAGTTCAGGAACATTTTGCAAATTATGCTTATTTCTTATGGCACACCACATGTTTAAGTGAGACACTCGTGACATATTTTGTTCAAGTAAAAGTGCATATTTCATGATCCATGGCTAGATAACAACCTCAAGTTTCATTTAGTATCTATATTATGATTTTGTATCAAATATTAAAAAAGTTATAGCATTTTGAAAAAAGTGGTGTTTTTTGGCCCACCCTGTATATATTTGTGGGGAAAAGTTTAATATTTGAATAATTTTTGATAGGAAAGTGGCGTAGGAAAATCTAGCATTGTCCAGCGATTTGTCCACGACACATTCAAGCCAGCATTGGAAAGCACAATAGGGTAAGCTTTCTATTTCTATAAGCAGATATTCGTACAAAGGGCAACATAAGAAAAAAACAGTTCAAATTGATGCACTCTCTTGCAAAGGGTTACCGATTTGATGAGTTAAAACCTAATAGAGAATTGCAGCCATGATATATTGCATGTCAACACGACCACAATAATGACATTTCAATTTTCAATACTCTCAATACGTATAATTAAAACGAAAGAATTTGTGTTGAAAACAAATGCTTCACAATTCATGTAGACTCACATCTTGTGACTACATTTTTCACTTTTTAAACCAAATATTTCCATCGATATAATATGTATAACATAATTTTGCTGCTAGATTTTCTGGTACACGCACAAAGAGCTAGAAAAACTTTCTGGAAGGATTATAATTTATCTTCTTGAAAAATGAAGAATATAACAAAAATATAACAAATATGGAAGAATTCACATTTTGACATAATATAATATTTGTTTTGTCAATAGTTATTATTGTAAAACGTGGACATGAACTTATGATACATGTATGTATACTTATTAATTGATACAAGTAAATACAGTGTTATAGATATAGGATTTTATTAGTACTGATGCCCTTTTAGGGCCAAACGTACATCCGATATACAATTTTTAATAACAGTAAATATAGCAATAAAGTAAAGAAAATAGGATTACATTCTTCAAATGACATATATAAAATGTTACTTTGATATAAGAATCCTGTCTCTACCAATCATTAGATACTTTATCATGTCAGCAGCTTCTTTTAATATGATCCCCTCACTCGTCAATAGAAAAATTGTCTTTTGGTGATCATTCATGTTTTTAAAATTACTACACAGGTTTTCAAGTTTTTCAATATGGGATTTTCTGATAAACTCCAATTTTTTACATTTGAATAAAAAGTGTGTTTCATCTTCTATAACCGAGTCCTTACATATTTTACAAAATCGACTATTAAGATCAGTAATTGGTTTTGTATATCGGCCTCTCTCTAGATTGTGGGCGCTTATACGTAATCTAGTTAAATGTTTAGCGTTTGAAAGTCTCGTTTCTGAAAGGTAGTGTTCAAACCCAAAGTGCGATTTTAGTTGTTTAAATAATCTAAGTTTCCCCCCATTCCCACTTATCAGATTCTTCCAATATACTTGATATCTCTCTATTAATTTCTTTTTGACTTTAATAGCAAGCCTATTTGTGCTCTTCTCTATGTTTACCTTATCTTCAAGATTCAATTCGTTGTGTTTGCTTTATTCCAGGGCCTCGTTCATGAGTAAAACATTAACTGTGGATGAAAAAACTTACAAATATCAAATTTGGGATACTGCTGGTCAAGAAAAAGTAAGTTCTGTAATTAATGATCCCTGCATTATCATCAATAGTATTCTTAAATATATTCATTATTACAGATATTATCACTAAATAAAATAAAAATATAAATTTTTCTGGGCCACGCTATGCATGAAGGAATTTCTGTTTCAGCATTGTGCCTTAGCTCCTTCATTTTCAGAGGACTTTTTTCTTTGGTAATAATAAAAATTATCGCTAGTGAGTTTCCGCACCTAAACGAGCATACTGCATATGCAACCGTCTATTATAGAGGACTTTCTTGTTTCAGCATCGTGCCTTAGTACCTATGTATTATAGAAGACTTTCTGTTTCAGTATCGTGCCTTAGCACTTATGTATTATAGAATACTTTCTTGTTTCAGTATCGTGCCTTAGCACCTAAGTATTATAGAAGTCTTTCTGTTTCAGTATCGTGCCTTAGCACCTAAGTATTATAGAATACTTTCTTGTTTCAGTATCGTGCCTTAGCACCTATGTATTATAGAAGACTTTCTGTTTCAGTATCGTGCCTTAGCACCTAAGTATTATAGAATACTTTCTTGTTTCAGTATCGTGCCTTAGCACCTAAGTATTATAGAATACTTTCTTGTTTCAGTATCGTGCCTTAGCACCTAAGTATTATAGAATACTTTCTTGTTTCAGTATCGTGCCTTAGCACCTATGTATTATAGAAGACTTTCTGTTTCAGTATCGTGCCTTAGCACCTAAGTATTATAGAATACTTTCTTGTTTCAGTATCGTGCCTTAGCACCTATGTATTATAGAATACTTTCTTGTTTCAGTATCGTGCCTTAGCACCTATGTATTATAGAAGACTTTCTGTTTCAGTATCGTGCCTTAGCACCTAAGTATTATAAAATACTTTCTTGTTTCAGTATCGTGCCTTAGCACCTAAGTATTATAGAATACTTTCTTGTTTCAGTATCGTGCCTTAGCACCTAAGTATTATAGAATACTTTCTTGTTTCAGTATCGTGCCTTAGCACCTAAGTATTATAGAATACTTTCTTGTTTCAGTATCGTGCCTTAGCACCTAAGTATTATAGAATACTTTCTTGTTTCAGTATCGTGCCTTAGCACCTAAGTATTATAGAATACTTTCTTGTTTCAGTATCGTGCCTTAGCACCTAAGTATTATAGAATACTTTCTTGTTTCAGTATCGTGCCTTAGCACCTAAGTATTATAGAATACTTTCTTGTTTCAGTATCGTGCCTTAGCACCTATGTATTATAGAATACTTTCTTGTTTCAGTATCGTGCCTTAGCACCTAAGTATTATAGAATACTTTCTTGTTTCAGTATCGTGCCTTAGCACCTATGTATTATAGAATACTTTCTTGTTTCAGTATCGTGCCTTAGCACCTATGTATTATAGAAGACTTTCTGTTTCAGTATCGTGCCTTAGCACCTAAGTATTATAGAATACTTTCTTGTTTCAGTATCGTGCCTTAGCACCTAAGTATTATAGAATACTTTCTTGTTTCAGTATCGTGCCTTAGCACCTAAGTATTATAGAATACTTTCTTGTTTCAGTATCGTGCCTTAGCACCTAAGTATTATAGAATACTTTCTTGTTTCAGTATCGTGCCTTAGCACCTAAGTATTATAGAAGACTTTCTGTTTCAGTATCGTGCCTTAGCACCTATGTATTATAGAAGTCTTTCTGTTTCAGTATCGTGCCTTAGCACCTATGTATTATTGAAGACTTTCTGTTTCAGTATCGTGCCTTAGCACCTATGTATTATTGAAGACTTTCTGTTTCAGTATCGTGCCTTAGCACCTATGTATTATAGAAGACTTTCTGTTTTAGTACCGTGCCTTAGCACCTATGTATTATAGAGGACTTTCTGTTTCAGTATCGTGCCTTAGCACCTATGTATTATTGAAGACTTTCTGTTTCAGTATCGTGCCTTAGCACCTATGTATTATAGAGGACTTTCTGTTTCAGTATCGTGCCTTAGCACCTATGTATTATAGATGACTTTCTGTTTCAGTATCGTGCCTTAGCACCTATGTATTATAGAAGACTTTCTGTTTTAGTACCGTGCCTTAGCACCTATGTATTATAGAGGACTTTCTGTTTCAGTATCGGGCCTTAGCACCTATGTATTATAGATGACTTTCTGTTTTAGTATCATGCCTTAGCACCTATGTATTATAGAAGACTTTCTGTTTTAGTACCGTGCCTTAGCACCTATGTATTATAGAGGACTTTCTGTTTCAGTATCGGGCCTTAGCACCTATGTATTATAGAGGACTTTCTGTTTCAGTATCGGGCCTTAGCACCTATGTATTATAGAGGACTTTCTGTTTCAGTATCGGGCCTTAGCACCTATGTATTATAGAGGAGCTGCTGCTGCTGTGATAGTATACGATGTCACCAATGAGGTAAGGTATTTATAGAGTGGGGAAAGTGTAAATACCATGACCTAAGTTGCAAACCCATATAAGTTAAATAGAACAACGGGTTAGAAGAACACAAATGAACAATGATCCAATTCAAATTACAGTGTGTAGTGTCAAACAGCTCTGACTTAATTGAATGACTTGGAGGTTGTTTTTCAATAATTTTGAAAGTTGTTATGTTCAAATAAATTTGGAGAATTCTACATGTATCTAAAATCGTTCTGACTTCCATTTTGCATCAGGCACATGTGTCTCCGTTACTTGTCACCTGAAAACGTTTTCCAAATTTCAGTCAAGTTTTGGTGTACTAAAAGATTGGATCAAGGAGCTTCAGAGACATGGTCCACAAGAGATTGTGATAGCAATTGCTGGCAATAAATGTGATCTCGCTGACCTACGGGAAGTGCAATATAAAGGTACATCGACATTACTGACATTTTCTGTCGACTTGGTGCCGAGAGTTTGTCCTTATGCCTATACCCAAGTAGATCTTGATTGAATAAAACACAGACTTAAAATGACAAAATCCGAGCATCAGATTTATAGCTAAACCATATTGCATTGTTATTTTCATATATTCTCCTATGCTTCTGTCAAATTGTGTCAGTATTTGTTTGACCCTCAGATTGAGATGTTGTTTCAAAACGTATGTCAATGACCGATGTAACACAAGGATGTCTCATTGTAGATGCTCTGGCGTATGCTGAACAAACAAATGCAATATTTGTAGAGACGAGTGCCAAAAATGCTACAAATGTCAGCGAGATGTTTGAGGCTATATGTAAGTTATGACTATCTTCCACTCCATTAATGCAAGCAGATAATAACATGTAACATACGAGGGTTGATTACAAAGTTCTCATATATCTCTAGTTTCTTATTTTCAATTTATTCTTATTATTCTCGTATACTGAAATTTATATTCCTGCAAATACTAATATTATGATATGTTAGGTCACACCATAAGCAGTTTTCACCAAATAGGATAAATTATGGCTGCATTTGATAATTTCACAAACTTTTAATTTTCTCGCCCTCTGTAGTTTGTGTTATAGATTGAAAAAAAATTATTATTTACAGGTCGAAAATTACCGGATGAGGATTTTCTACAAAGCTCAGTTAATAATGACAGGATCAATCTCAAAGGAACTGCAACAACGAAGAAAAAGAAATGTTGCTGAATTATTTACTAAGGCACATTCCGCAATGAATGCTTTTAACAACATTTCAAAAACAAATGGAATCACATCAATTTAGAAAAGGGAATTTTCCTGAATGTTCAATATATATTTAGAAACATTCTGCAAAATGGATGTTCGTGTTTTAAAAAAACATTCCATCAAACGTTATGATATGTTGACTTCATCATCTTTTAGTTAAACAATGTCATGGATAAAGATGGTTTATATGATACTTGAAATACTCAATTCCATTGCAAAGACCGATAAATTGTAAACCAAACCAAATGCAAACAGATAGGAGTTGTACAGGGTGGACCAAAAACGCCACTTTTTTCAAGACACTATAACTTTTTCATTTTCCAACCGACATACATCAAATTAGATTCTGTTCATCTCTCATGGCACACCACATGTTTAAATGAAACGCTGGTGACATATTTTGTTCAAATAAAAGTGTACAATTCATAATCCATGGCTATATTGCATCTTCAAGTTTCATTTGGTATGCAAATTATAGGAAAATTATGATTTTGGATCAAAAATTAAAAAAGTTATAGCATTTTGAAAAAAGTGGCTTTTTTGGCCCACCCTGTATATATCAATCGACTGTATATAATCGTGTAGATATGTATTGTTTGGAATGGGCCTCGCAAATCATTTTTGGAACCAGGTGAATGTTTTTTCCATGTGCAATATGTGTGGAATGTATAATTTGTGACAATATTTGACCATTTAGAAGACACAGACATGTTGCCACAAAATCAATTTTACAAGTATATTAAATTATCTTCCCCATTTACAGTTACAATTATTATGATTACAAGTGATGTTATGATCGATGTGTAATTTTTTATTTGTTCAAACGTTTTTGATTTGTAGAATACTTAGTTCTTTGTTGTATTATCTTTATTAGCTCTAGAAATCATGGGTTAAACAAATCCATCAAATATATATTGTTTACATTGTAAAATGTATGATATAAAACAATGATACAAAACAATTTATGTTATGTTACCTTACATTTGCTGTGTACGTTCCCTGTTCCATAAGTTTGACAACCGGAAGTTCCATTTGATAGTACTATCATATCAAATCCTGTCATTATTTGAATCTTAATTTTGTTCCTTAATCACTGGTCAGTATCAAGCGAAGGTAACGACCGTCATATTCGCATTTAAAGAGGCACTATGCCATAGGAAAGCACAATCAACACCCCTCTGGACTTTTTTGCATGTTGAGTTTCACCACATATATACCAATCTACTTACCAAAGAAGAAGTCCCAAATCCCCCTCTTTCAGTGTTAATTTTGCGATTGTGCTGGCAGATCTAATTATTTTCTAAGAAATTAATTCAATCTGCAGTTTGAATATACCGGGAAAGTCCTCCTGTTATCTGATTGGTCGTTGAATTTGTTTATCATAAACCTGATTGGCTGTCTGTTTCAAGGCGCTTGTGGGCGCTTGTGTAACTCAATGGGGATTCCCCTCGCTAGTCGAGGAATCGATTGTGTTTAATTCTGGAGTTTGGTTGTTCTGTTGATTATTTCCGATATTTCGGCAATAATATACCCAAAAGTTATTCTCAAGATATATCCATAGTATGTGAGATATTATATGAGCAATAACAATAGGACATCATTGATTGTCTGGGGGAGACACCTATGGCATAATGCATCTTTAAGATGGCGGACGGGAAGTGTCAATTTCAATATTTTTAGTTTTCATCGAATTAAACCACTTTATAGACTTCATTGCTTTTTCAATTTATGGGAAGAAGTGAAATACACTTGGACCGAAAATGCTATCAACAATATATTGTGTAAATTCCATGCTATGTGCAACTTAAAATAATATAACCAATACATACTTGGTAGACACAACTGGACATACTGCATAAGTGGTCTACCCTGTGTACATATACACTGTACGTCTGGTCATGGACGTTGCCAAAATATATTCACTTTATTTTTACATGTAGGGTTCCTAGAATGGACATGCTTCGATCAAATGATTTGTAACGTGTATATAATCTACTGTTTAAGCAGCCTGAATCGCACATGGCCATTTGAAATGGGTGTGTACAGTTTAAAATAGTAATAAATATAATCAATATGCATTCAGACAGGGTGGACCAAAAACGCCACTTTTTCGAAATGCTTTTTTATTATTTGTTAATCTAAAACCATTAATTTGAATACCAAATCAAACTTTGATGATGTACATATAATCTAGTCATGCATCATAAATTGTACATTTTTACTTGAATAAAAAGATATCCACATGCGTCTAACTTAAACATGTACGGTATAGCATGAGAAATAAACATAATTTGCATAATGTTCCTGAACTGACACGGCCTGATGACCACCCAGCTCATAGTCCTGGTGCAAACCCCAGTGCAGTAGTCATAGGATATGGGGAGGAATCTCGGAGATTGAACATGGGCACCCAATCTCATTGCCCAACTAAAGCTGGCAATATTCAAAACAAATTGAAAGAAACTAAGCCAACATGTCATTGATACTGCCATATCAGCATGGCGACTAAAACTAAAACCTATCATCAAAGCCGGACTGGGGGGGTTGAACAATTGAACTCTCTTTTAGATCAAATACAATCCAAGTTGAAGGACTTTTTCCATTATTTTATTACTTGGGACCTCTTGCGCTATATAACTGCATTTGGTGTATATGTACAATGCCGGGTTGGCAAATAAAAAACTTATTAACTTATACTCCCTCAGTTAGTGTTTTTAAAAACGTCAGCGTTTTTGGCCCACTCTTTATCTTTAGCCTACAAACGATGTTCAACACTCCAGTGGACAATTTATATGACTAAATTGACAAAATTGACTAAAATGACAATTGGCTCGAAAGCTTATGATTAAACTGTTTGTGCTATATGCAATTTTTACATGGGACTTTTGCTGAACATCGATTATTATGGGCCATCGTATATTAAGTTAGAAAACGTAATCCGGCAACTATCAAACTTCCGGTAAGGAAAATATTTTGTAACATTTTACTATTCATCAGTTTCCATGGATTTTTGTTGACCAAAGTTACTCTTTTATGATAAATTGTCTTGAAATAGAAGAAATATGTCTGTAAATATATATACGGTGAATCAAAACTTCCAAATTTCGTCCAGATTTTGCATGAAAGATAATGAAATTCTCTAATTTTCAAGTTCGTTGGCCAGGCCCTATTTACTGCTACTGTACCTGTGTGTGTACGTGTACCAATACATGTACGTAGTAAATGGTATGCTTTTCCATGATCCTTTGTTTCACTGAGTCTACTGACCACTGTACACCAGGGGTGTATCCAAGATGTAGGCTACTAGTCTAGCTACTAAAAAGTAGGATTGTTGTGCCCCAAAAATTTTCTTTTTTACATCAAGCAAGCCATTTGGAGTAAATGAAAAAGGTTGTTGTGATTTCAGAGGTAAAGAGTTGTTTGTTTTGATTTTAGAGATAGTCAAAATGGTTGTTGTGATTGGCTTGTTGTGATTTCAGAGATGATGAAAATGGTTGTGATTTCAGAGATATAGTCAAAATGGTTGTTTTGATGGGTTTGTTGTGATTTCAGAGTTGACGAAAATGATTGTTGTGATTTCAGAGATGATGAAAATGATTGTTGTGATTTCAGAGATAATGAAAATGATTGTTGTGATTTTAGAGGTAATGAAAATGGTTGTGATTTCAGGGATAGTCAAAATGGTTGTTGCGATGGGTTTGTTGTGATGATGAAAATGATTGTTGTGGTTTCAGAGATAATGAAAATGATTGTTGTGATTTCAGAGATAATCAAAATGGTTGTTTTGATAGGTTTATTGTGATTTCAGAGATAATGAAACTGGTTATTGTGATTTCAGAGATGATGAAAATGAATATTGTAATTTCAGAGATAATGAAACTGGTTGTGATTTCAGATTCAATGAAAATAGTTGCTGTGATATAAGAGATAATGAAAATGAATATTGTGATTTCAGAGATAATGAAACTGGTTATTGTGATTTCAGAGTTAATGAAAATAGTTTTTTTGATTTCAGAAAAAGTATCAGAGAAAATGAAAAGGGTTTTTCTTTTTTTCAGAAATAATGAAAAGGATTGTCATGACTTCAGTTCTTTTGATTTCAGAGATACATGTAATGGAAATGGTTGTTGGGATTTCAGAGATAATGAAAATGATTGTTGGGATTTCAGAGATAGTGAAAATGATTGTTGGGATTTCAGAGATAATGAAAATGATTGTTGGGATTTCAGAGATTATGAAAATGATTGTTGGGATTTCAGAGATAATGAAAAGGGTTATTTCGTTGCGTTTTCCGTGATAGTGAAAAAAATTGTCGTGATTTCACCCATTATGAAAAGGTTGCTTTGATTTCATGGAGATAATGAAAAGTTTTGCTGTGATTTCAGAGATAATGAAAATAGTTGTTTTGATTTCAGAAATAATATAATGCAAAAGATTGTTGTGATTTCAAAGATAATGAAACTGGTTATTGTTATTTTAGTGATAATGAAAATGATTATTGTTATTTCAGTTATAATGAAAAGGGTTATTGTTATTTCAGTGATAATGAAAAGGGTTATTGTGATAGGAGCTGGAGCAGCTGGGCTATGTGCTCTTAGGCATCTGACAGCGAGGCCAGATCTGTTCCAAGCAGTTGCATATGAACAAAGCTCTGTTGTAGGAGGGACGTGGGTGTACACAGAACAAACAGATAAAGATGATAGGGGGAACCCTATACACTCAAGCATGTATAAAGAACTCAGGTATTTTACTACACATTGAATACTGAATATGTTTGTTAATTGTTATAAGGACCAAGAGGAGCAGTCACTTTATAGCTGGCAGACTAGATTGAGATTGATCTAGCTCATGCATTGCCATTGTCATCATTTAAGGAACTTTTTGTTATCATGATTGTTAAAAATAAACAGAAAGAAAAAAATGTTTGACACTGATTAAGCTATAAGTTGATTTAATATTGTTGGCAGTCCTGATGTTATGTTTAATAAAAAGAAAATGTTGAATAAAAATTATTATGTAATTTTAGATTTAGCTCACAAAAATTCATATGTTCAAAAATGTTTATTGATATCTTGCCAATACAAAGATACATCACACTGATGTTTTTACATTTTGTCCTGTTGTATTTCACAATTGAATTTTCATTTTTTCAAAAATTGTCATTCTTACAATTTTTCTCTCATTCAACAGAGGATTTTAAGTACATACATCTGTATTGCTCTCGACCATGGTATAAGGTCGTTATTCAGCTGTTGGGAGGAATATCCCTTGGATGATATCCATATATGGATATCATCCTTGTGATATTCCCCATATCAAATCCCTCCTGGTGAATAACTTCTTTATATCACATACATGTAGTCAATAGAATACAAGTATTTAGTTCAGACACATCAACCGCCAAGAATTATCAAGAAACACGGTGTAAATTGATAAGAACATTAAAATTATCAGAAGTCACTGTTTTCAAGTTTCTTCAACATCAACTTTTGCCATTCAAATATTAACTCCAACTAAATAGTTCCGAGAAATGTGATGTTCAAAGTTACTTCATTTTCTATTTTGTACATAATACTATTTTATGAGGAAAATGGAATTGTGAATTTGATCTGTTGATGAAAACAAGCTGTTTACATCTTACTTAAATGTATCTCAACTAATCAGTTAATTTATCAGGTGAAGGCTTAAATTATTGAAAACCAATTATACCATAGAACTATTATACTTGATACTTAGTAAATCCATTAGCCAAAGAGGATGGTTGATTTTATCTAATTAAGTATTTCTAGAGGTGATTGTTATTGATGGCTTGGAAACCTGACTTAATCAGAATTCTACAAATAGTGGATACATTTATGAACGGCATAGAAATATTACAAGGTCTTAAAGACTGTTATGTTTTCATTCACAGAAATGTATTCCTCATACAGGGTGGCCCAAAAAACAGAACCCTCCAAATATGAAATAATTTCACCATAAATAAGTGCTCATTTTAGATTTGCTTCATATCTCAGCTTCTTTCTTTCCCACTTTGCCACTTTACATTTTCAGAGGTAGGACCTTAAATAAGATGGGCCGCTAATTTTATTTATATGTTTTAGGCCTACAAATCTGTTACTTTGTTTTAGGACTAACCTTCCCAAAGAAGTGATGGCTTTTCCAGATTTTCCATTTGACAAGAGTTTACCATCATTTGTACGCCACAGTGATGTGAGGAAGTACCTAGAAGATTACACTCAACAAAATGACCTCTATAAATACATTAAGGTATAAAACAATACCTGGACTCTGATTCTGAACTTTTCCATAAATTTTTGCTGTAAATAATTTACGATAGGACAAGTACAGTCTGTAAACCGAAAATTAACAATTGAATTTACAATACGGAAAAGTTCAGAATCGGACTCCATGATTGCTTCACTAATAATTATTTCTGTTGATCAATGTTTTTTAAGGGTATCTTGTGTTAACTTCTCTCTCACTAATGTATATATACATACTGTACATGTTTTTTTATTAACTTTTGAAATGTACTGATGAAAAATCAAAAAAATCAATGTAAAAGATAATTGCTTCATCTTGCTGTTTCAGAGAATTGCGCAACTACTGTACATGTATTTCCACGTAAAATGATAATTTCACCTCTTTGTTGTTATATTTTCTGCTATAATGCTAATGAAAACCCTGATAGGTTTACAATTATTTTTCAGTTCAACACAAGTGTAGAACATGTTGATCCAATAAAAACTGATGAGAATGATATTCAATGGGAGGTGACTGTAAAGGACAATGAACAAGGCGTTACCAAGGAGACTGCAGATGCTGTGATGGTATGCAATGGGTAAGTTGTTATTATGGGTGTTACCAAGGAGACTGCAGATGCTGTGATGGTATGCAATGGGTAAGTTGTTATTATGGGTGTTACCAAGGAGACTGCAGATGCTGTGATGGTATGCAATGGGTAAGTTGTTATTATGGGTGTTACCAAGGAGACTGCAGATGCTGTGATGGTATGCAATGGGTAAGTTGTTATTATGGGTGTTACCAAGGAGACTGCAGATGCTGTGATGGTATGCAATGGGTAAGTTGTTATTATGGGTGTTACCAAGGAGACTGCAGATGCTGTGATGGTATGCAATGGGTAAGTTGTTATTATGGGTGTTACCAAGGAGACTGCAGATGCTGTGATGGTATGCAATGGGTAAGTTGTTATTATGGGTGTGGAGGGAGATTCTCAATTCAAATATGCATTCTTAAGATCAGCCTAGATGAGCCTAACTTGGATACCAATACTCATTGGTTTAGACAAGTATTGTTACCAGCTTTGTATAGCAATACTTCTTTGGTGTTAAGACAAGTATTGTTACCAAATTGTATAGCAATACTTTGTGTCTAGTCAAGTATTGTTACCAACTATGTATAGCAATACTTTTTTGTGTCTAGTCAAGTTTTGTTACCAACTTTTTATAGCAATACTCCTTGGTGTTTAGAAAAGTATTGTTACCAGCTTTGTATAGCAATACTTCTTTGTGTCTAGTCAAGTATTGTTACCAACTTTGTTTAGCAATACTTCTTTGTGTCTAGTAAAGTATTGTTACCAACTTTGTTTAGCAATACTTTGTGTCTAGTCAAGTATTGTTACCAACTTTGTTTAGCAATACTTCTTTGTGTCTAGTCAAGTATTGTTACCAAATTTGTTAAGCAATACTTCTTTGTGTCTAGTCAAGTATTGTTATCAACTTTGTATAGCAATACCTCTTCGTGTCTAGTCAAGTATTGTTACCAACTTTGTATAGCAATACTTCTTTGTGTTCAGTCAAGTATTGTTACCAACTTTGTATAGCAATACTTCTTTGTGTCTAGTCAAGTATTGTTACCAACTTTGTATGGCAATACTTTTTTGTGTCTAGTCAAGTATTGTTACCAACTTTGTATAGCAATACTCTTTGTGTCTAGTCAAGTATTGTTACCAACTTTGTATTGCTAATACTTCTTTGTGTCTAGTTACATATTGTTACCAACTTTGTATAGCAATACTCTGTGTCTAGTCAAGTATTTTTACCAACTCTATACAGCAATATTCCATGGTGCATTTCAGGCATTACTCTACCCCTATCATCCCAAACATCAAGGGAATGGATGACTTCAAGGGCAAAGTTTTGCATAGCCATAACTACAGACATAAGGAGTCATGTCAGGGTCTCAATGTTGTATGTCTAGGGGCAGGTGCATCAGGTCAGGATATAGGACTGGAAGTAGCATCAGCTGCAAATAAGGTAAACGGCAGTTAAGGTAGCATTGTTTTTATGTCACCACCAAAAGTGGTGACATATTGTTATGGTCTCCGTTTTTTTTTCGACGGCGTCCGGCGGTTGGTGGTTGGCGGTTGGCGTCCGGCGGTTGGCGTCTGTAACAATTTCTTACAACTTCCTATAACTTAACAAATACTGTTTAGACTGACTTCAATTTTTTTCTAAATCATCTACATGTTCTCAGAAGTTCAAATCTGACTTTAGATTTGACATTTGACCTTCAATGACCTTCTCAAGGTCAAAAAGGTCTTTTTTCAACTTGCTTCACATTGACTAAATTTTTTTTCAAAATCATCTACATGTTCTCAGAAATTCAAATCTGACTTTAGATTTGACATTTGACCTTCAAATCTGACTTTAGATTTGACATTTGACCTTCAATGACCTTCTCAAGGTCAAAAAAGGTAAAAAAAGGTCTGTTTTCAACTTGCTTCGAATTGACTAAATTTTTTTTTCAAAATCATCTACGTGTTCTCAGAAATTCAAATCTGACTTAAGATTTGACTTAAGATTTGACATTTGACCTTCAATGACCTTGTCAAGGTCAAAAAAGGTCAAAAAGGTCTGTTTTCAACTTGCTTCAAATTGACTAAAAAAAAATTTTTCAAAATCATCTATGTGTTCTCAGAAATTCAAATCTGACTTTAGATTTGACTTAAGATTTGACATTTGACCTTCAATGACCTTCTCAAAGTCAAAAAAGGTCAAAAAGGTCTTTTTTCAACTTGCTTCAATTTGACTAAATTTTTTTTTCAAAATCATCTACATGTTCTCAAAAATTCAAATTTGACTTTAGATTTGACATTTGACCTTCAGTGACCTTCTGAAGGTCAAAAAAGGTCTGTTTTCAACTTGCTTCAAATTGACTAAATTTTTTTTCAAAATCATCTACGTGGTCTCAGAAATTCAAATCTGACTTAAGATTTGACATTTGACCTTCAATGACCTTCTCAAGGTCAAAAAAGGTCAAAAAGGTCTGTTTTCAACTTGCTTCAAATTGACTAAAAAAAATTTTTAAAATCATCTACGTGTTCTCAGAAATTCAAATCTGACTTTAGATTTGACTTAAGATTTGACATTTGACCTTCAATGACCTTCTCAAAGTCAAAAAAGGTCAAAAAGGTCTTTTTTCAACTTGCTTCAAATTGACTAAATTTTTTTTTCAAAATCATCTACATGTTCTCAGAAATTCAAATCTGACTTTAGATTTGACATTTGACCTTCAATGACCTTCTCAATGTCAAAAAAGGTCAAAAAGGTATTTTTTCATCTTGCTTCAAATTTACTAATTTTTTTTTCAAAATCATCTACATGTTCTCAGAAATTCAAATATGACTTAAGATTTGACTTTTGACCTTCAATGACCTTCTCAAAGTCAAAAAAGGTCATAAAGGTCTTTTTTCAACTTGCTTCAAATTGACTAATTTTTTTTTTCAAAATCATCTACATGTTCTCAGAAATTCAAATATGACTTTAGATTTGACTTTAGATTTGACATTTGACCTTCAATGACCTTCTCAAGGTCTAAAAAGGTCAAAAAGGTCTTTTTTCAACTTGCTTCAAATTGACTAATTTTTTTTTTCAAAATCATCTACATGTTCTCAGAAATTCAAATCTGACTTTAGATTTGACATTTGACCTTTAATGACCTTCTCAAGGTCAAAAAAGGTCAAAAAGGTCTGTTTTCAACTTGCTTCAAATTGACCAAATTTTTTTTTCAAAATTATCTACATCTTTTCAGAAGTTCAAATTTGACTTTACAAGTTCTCAGAAATTCAAATCTGACTTAATATTGTGAGCAACTAGGTGGTGACATTTTGTCATGTTAATGCCTTGTTTTAAATTTAATAGTGTTACAACTGCACCCCCAATCCGCAACATCATCCTGTAACGCTGTACTGCGCTGTAAACAGTACTGAACAGTGCAGATCAAGCACAGCGCTGTACAGCGATGTACAGTACTATTTTAGCATCACCTGTTTTGAATAGCGTATTACAGTACTATTTTTACAGCTCTGTACAGTACTGTTTTTCAAAACAGCGATGCACAGTACTGTTTTTACAGCACTGTCCAGCACTGTTTCATAAACAGCGCTGTTTGATGCTGTTTGAGATTGACAGTGTAGGGAGATGTGATTGTGAGAGTAATGTTGATGTTCACTGAAGAGTGGAGAGACAGGCCCATCATTCTTAGCATTTTTCCAGTGATATTGGGCTAAAGATGTCAAATGTGAAACCCCCCTGGATTTTTTTGAAAAGTGAACCCCCTTGACAAAAGCTGGCTATGGCATATATTCACTAGAGGGGTTTACTCTTTTGAGAGAGATGTCTTTGCTCTTAGACATGAAGAAATGGATAGGAATTTTTTAGGATACTAGTATCTTCCAATGTAGGTTTCAATCCAGCAAGTAGGGATAAAAAAATCCAGTAAGTGGACATGCCAAAGTTTTGTTCATTTACATTGTCATCATTGTATTTCAGTCATCCTCTTTCACCATCTCCGTATACAGTGTACATGTACATATGTATTGGTCAATGGTTAAAACTGTGATACACAAGTACCTGCAATTAATTTGGAAAAAATGGCCACCAAATTCAAGTGACATCATTTAAATACAGGTTTAACAATTGACATACTCGCATTGTGAAAAGAAATCGTGTATTATATAGCCATCTAGAATTTTATAAGGTTTTAGATTAGATCACGTGTGACATAATTGAAAAATGATAGGCCCTCGGGATAGGCTGATACTGATATTTTCCATTGTGGATAAGTTAAGGTGAGACCATTGAATTGAGTAAATAAGAGATTCTGATCCATTGGAGATAAGCTCCTATTACTCCTAGGTTCTCATGACCTATATTCAAAATGTGTCGTCATATTTTTTATATCTCCAGGTATATCTAAGTCACAACAAAGCTCCCCTGTTAGCTGCGTTGCCAAGCAACATGGTCCAGGTGCCTGGGATTTCTCACTTGAAGGAGCATTCTGTGGTGTTCAAGGACGAAAAAGAAGTCCCCCTGGACTTATTACTCCTCTGCACAGGATATCACTACACCTTCCCATTTCTCTCTGAGAAATGCCACATAGATACAACTGATGAAAGAGTCTCTCCTTTGTATAAACACCTGATACACACTGAATTCCCTACCTTAGCTCTGATGGGGTTATGTAAAACCATATGTCCCTTCCCCCAATTTGACTGCCAAGTAAGGTTCTTTATTTCATCACTAGATGGCAGCATGGTGCTGCCGTCTGCTAAAGAAATGCGTAAGGATACAAATCGGGACTTTGAATGGCGTGCAGAAGAATTAAACATGCCTGCTAGGCATGCACATCACATGGGGAAGCTACAATGGGAGTATAACGATGAGTTAGCCTATTTGGGTAACTTTACACCAATACCACAAGTGATTCGTATGCTTTATGACGCTGTCCATCAACGCAGGTTCACTGATATCATGCTGTATAAAAAAGACAATTATGAGCTTGTGGGACCGAAGGAATTTAAACCATTGATAAAATGATAATAGTCTTGCAAATGAGAAAATATCTCCGCTGAATTAAGCTAGACTCATACCATAGCCATTTCTAATCAAATCGTGATTTATTGGGGAGATTTGAATTATATCTTTAAACAGAGACATGTTTTATATGTCTCTGCTTTAAACAACTGTTCCGCAATTAACTACCTGATTTGATGGTTGAAATCAAATGGCATGCATAATCTACCACTGGCATTAATAGCATTAATTATTATCTACTACTAATACAAATATGACGTGCAGTATTATTCAATTTTGAGCAGATGAACACGATTATTTCAAATGTCAAAGTCCTTGTAATAAAGAAAGCGACTGCTCGGACACCGGGCTACGACGCCATTTGGATATCTCAAAGCAAAGGCATTCGAGCATGTGTGATGTGATTGCTAGATCTCCATATAAGCACACTGGGTGAAATGTTGAGAATGTTTTAATAAGTTCATTTGATATATGTTTAGCTAAAAACGTTAGCTTGTAATGCACATTGCACTAGGCAGCGACCTATGTAACTACTTCACTGCATAATAATTAAAATAAATGTCTAATGAACTGAAAAATAAGTTGTCAATCGTTCCCGCTTCTGTCAAAAGTGGTCCTTTTCTTTCATGTTCTTTACACACACAAAAAGATGAATAACATAATTGATAATGATAAATAATAAATATTTAAATTAATAGAAAGTGAATTAGATTGCAGAAACACAACATACGAGTATATGTATAAATCGAATGGATGCAAATGTTTCATTTACTACTCAATGGATTCAAAATCAAGTTTTTACAAGGTTTGTAATCGAATGCAGGTGTACCATCGACTGTCTGATCTATAAGGCCTAAATAGACTTTCTGGAAGTCCATGACCACTCTCATATGTGATATGATATTATATATTGTAACGTTTTTCCCGTGGGTCAGGAATGCGGGGAAAATGTGGGGAAGATGGACCCTCCCGTGTGTTACTTAATTGCGGGATTATACGGAGCGGCGTTGACTCCACTCGCTACAGTCGCCTGAGATGTTACTCCAAGGGAATGCAAGGGGAAAGAAAGTATTACGCAATCTGGGTTTGCACTACACAAGTTCCCTCTGGAACTCACTACAATACAACAATGAACATTCAAGTACAGAATAAAAGTAAAGTTATATATTTGCTCTTTATGAGCCAAACAATGGTTTAGAAACAATAGAAAATTATGTACAAAGTCGAGCTCAAACTACCCTAAACTATATAATCACTAATGCCTTAAGGCAGAAAAACATGTGATGTCACTTGAATGTCTTTAAGTTACTATAAGAAAGTAAGATCAAAAGAGGATATCACTTTGATAAGTTCCCGCAAAAGATAAAGGTTGATATCACTTGAATGTCTCTAAAGTCGCCACATAAAATAATCATGAACTCATATTAAACAATCACTATAACATTAGATGTCTTTGTTTGTGTCTTCTTCAGCAATTGTGGGATGCACCTCTTGTCTTTGTATTCCGTTGTCTGTCCTGAAATAAAATGGCGCTCCTGGCCACGGGACCCCACTGTCTACTTATCTAGTTTATTAATGTACAACCTGGTGCAAAATATTCTTAAAATCCGGAATCCAAGCAACGATCCTACTCAATGGGTGCAAAAGCCCTTATATCTCTTGATCATAGGTGCAATGTTTCTGTGTGCCCCTGTTCCTAACCAGGGTGCAATTCCTCTATATGCCCTTGTTCCTTAACCAAGGTGCATCTTGCCCCTGTTCCTTAACCAGGGTGCAAGTCCTTTTATGTGCCCTTGTTCCTTAACCAAGGTGCACCTTGCCCCTGTCCCTTAACCAGGGTGCAAGTCCTTTATATGCCCTTATTAAACTTTGCACCTATGTCCAGTTTGCAATTCCCTTATATGCCCTTGTTCCTAACCAAGGTGCATTTTGCCCCTGTTCCTTAACCAGGGTGCAAGTCCTCTATATTCCATCATCCAAGTTGCAATCAGGTGCAAACGTCCTTAAAGCCTTTATCCAAATTATAATCACGTACAAATGTCCTTAAATCCTTTATCCAAGTTGCAATCAGGTGCAAATGTGCTTAAATCCTTAATCCGAATTATAATCACGTACAAATGTCCTTAAATCCTTTATCCAAGTTGCAATCAGGTGCAAATGTGCTTAAATCCTTAATCCAAATTATAATCACGTACAAATGTCCTTAAATCCTTTATCCAAGTTGCAATCAGGTGCAAATGTGCTTAAATCCTTAATCCGAGGTACAACCGGGTGCAAATGTCCTTATGGGGTGCAACCTGGTGCAAATGTCCTTAAATCCTTAATCCGAGGTGCAACCGGGTGCAAATGTCCTTATGGGGTGCAACCTGGTGCAAATGTCCTTAAATCCTTAATCCGAGGTGCAACCGGGTGCAAATGTCCTTAAATCCTTAATCCGAGATGCAACCGGGTGCAAATGTCCTTATGGGGTGCAACCTGGTGCAAGTTTCCTTAAATCCTTAATCCGAGGTGCAACCGGGTGCAAATGTCCTTATGGGGTGCAACCTGGTGCAAGTATCCTTAAATCCTTAATCCGAGATGCAACCGGGTGCAAATGTCCTTATGGGGTGCAACCTGGTGCAAGTATCCTTAAATCCTTAATCCGAGGTGCAACCGGGTGCAAATGTCCTTATGGGGTGCAACCTGGTGCAAATGTCCTTAAATCCTTAATCCGAGGTGCAACCGGGTGCAAATGTCCTTATGGGGTGCAACCTGGTGCAAGTATCCTTAAATCCTTAATCCGAGGTACAACCGGGTGCAAATGTCCTTATGGGGTGCAACCTGGTGCAAGTATCCTTAAATCCTTAATCCAAGATGCAACCGGGTGCAAATGTCCTTATGGGGTGCAACCTGGTGCAAGTATCCTTAAATCCTTAATCCGAGGTGCAACCGGGTGCAAATGTCCTTATGGGGTGCAACCTGGTGCAAATGTCCTTAAATCCTTAATCCGAGGTGCAACCGGGTGCAAATATCCACTATGGGTGCAATCGGGTGCAAATATACGCTATAGTTGCAACCGGGTGCAAATATCCTTAATCATAGGTGCAATGTCTCTGTGTGCCCCTGTTCCTAACCAGGGTGCAATTCCTCTATATGCCCTTGTTCCTTAACCAAGGTGCATCTTGCCCCTGTTCCTTAACCAGGGTGCAAGTCCTTTTATGTGCCCTTGTTCCTTAACCAAGGTGCACCTTGCCCCTGTCCCTTAACCAGGGTGCAAGTCCTTTATATCTCTTATTATACTTTGCACCTATGTCCAGGTTGCAATCATGGGTACAAATGCCCCTTGCACCAATATGGGGTTGCAAGTTGGGTGCAACTCTCCAAAATATCCTTTACACCTAATTCAGATGGTTATTATGGATGCAAATATCCCTTGCACCGATATGGGGTTGCAAGTTGGGTGCAACTCTCCCAAATGACCTTCACACCTGGTGCAAATATTCCTTGCACCAATATGGGGTTGCAAAGTTGGTTGCAACTCTCCAAAATATCCTTCCGTTGATTATCTTGGGTGCAAATATCCCTTGCACCAATCTGGGGTTGCAAAGTCGGGTGCAACTCTCCCAAATCTCCTGGGGTTGCAAGATTGAGTGCAACTCTCCCAAAAATTCCTTCACACCTATTCCAGGTGGTTGATATGGGTGCAAATGTTCCTTGCACCGATATGGGGTTGCAAAGTTGGTTTGCAACTCTTCCAAATGTCCTTCAATTAGTTACTATTGGGTGCAAATATTCCTTGCACCGATATGGGGTATGCGCAATTACTTGCAACTCTCCCAAAGTCCTTCTGTTGATTACTATAAGTGCAAATATCCCTTGCACCTATATGGGGTTGCAAATTGGGTTGCAACTCTCCCAAATATCCTTCACACCTATTCCAGGTGGTTGATATGGGTGCAAATGTTCCTTGCACCGATATGGGGTTGCAAGTTGGGTGCAACTCTCCCAAATGACCTTCACACCTGGTGCAAATATTCCTTGCACCAATATGGGGTTGCAAAGTTGGTTGCAACTCTCCACAATATCCTTCCGTTGATTATCTTGGGTGCAAATATCCCTTGCACCAATCTGGGGTTGCAAAGTCGGGTGCAACTCTCCCAAATCTCCTGGGGTTGCAAGATTGAGTGCAACTCTCCCAAAAATTCCTTCACACCTATTCCAGGTGGTTGATATGAGTGCAAATATCCCTTGCACCAATATGGGGTTGCAAATTGGGTGCAACTCTCCCAAATATCCTTCACACCTATTCAAGGTGGTTGTTATGGGTGCAAATATCCCTTGCACCTATATGGGGTTGCAAATTGGGTTGCAACTCTCCCAAATATCCTTCACACCTATTCAAGGTGGTTGTTATGGGTGCAAATATCCCTTGCACCTATATGGGGTTGCAAATTGGGTTGCAACTCTCCCAAATATCCTTCACACCTATTCCAGGTAGTTGATATGGGTGCAAATGTTCCTTGCACCGATATGGGGTTGCAAAGTTGGTTGCAACTCTCCCAAATGTCCTTGAATTGAGTATGGGGTTGCAAAGTTGGGTGCAACTCTCCCAAATAACAATACAATGTTGAGTAAAAAGAATGAATAAAAATACACACACAATCTCTATACAATCCGATATGACTCTCTAAATTAATGTTCAAAATGTCCAGACTAAAAAATGGACAAACTGTGATGATATTTGATCGACAATCTTTCGTCAATTACTCAACAAAATATTCTTACTTACGACCCCGTGGTTGTTCCAGTCTGTAAATCCGTTAATTATTTGTCGCACAACAACTTGACAAACTGGTCAAATTCCTTTTATATGCCCTGCGCGGACGTTTTGGACTGCATAAATCTGATTGGTTAATTCCGCCAAAAAACTAGGTTAGTATGCCGATGAGGTACCTCAATGGGCGATAATATGAAATTTCCGTGGATGATCAGGTCACTAAAATGCTAAAACGTGATCAATTAACTCGAAAATGATTAAAAATCAAAGTTCCTATGAAAGATTACATGCCAATAATTAATCCGCCACTCGCCTAAACTCACCAGTTCCACTGAAATTCCTGTAAAATGGCTTCGTTTTCCGATTTTCGAAAGAAAAATTACATTGACTTCCTTATTTCTGGAATTTCTTATTAAAACCGGTAATGGTGAAACGAAAACACTAAAATCAATAATCAATTTTCATCACAATATATAAAAAATTGCTGGAAATACCGTTTGTGTATGACACTATTATTGACTGCACTCCTTGTAATCTGTTTAAAAGCCTGGCCCTTATCAAAATAATTGAAAGGGAATTCGGAATTTAAAAAAATACAAAATACATTTTTGATAAATTTGCAATTATTTTTTATTTTTGTTGGTGTATAATAGGCCTATTGGTACGTATTTCTGTTTTATAGCTTTCAGCGCATGGACAAAGAGATTACTTGTTCCTATGTGCGTTATGCGCATGTGCACTGACAATCGCCTCCAGATGAAGAGCATGCGCAGCCGCCAAAACTGTTCTCATTTGGACATTCGATACAATCGCCACCACAACAACATGCTCCCTGGTACTTCAGCATTTTATCCCAGAGTTCTTTCCACGGTTTAGACATCCGGGTGCCATTCAGATTTGGGTCGTAAAAGACCAGAGCACCTGGGCTCTGCTTTTTTACTGAAAACAACAACTAGAGTTTAATACCCCCGAATGCGATGATGTAATTAATAAAGGTCATACCCTGAAAACGGGCAAGAGCATTCTGATTTACCAGAGTCCCTCTTTACCTAACGCTTTTGAGAGCATTCTGATTTACCAGAGTCCCTCTTTACCTAACGCTTTTGAGAGAACTATTCCAAAAAGATAGTAAAGGCTGTGGATCCCACAATGGGGCAAGAGTGCACCTACCGAAAAGGTTGTGGTTATCGGATTGTATTTACCTGGGTTTAAACAAATCTTCCCATGCACCATACTGTCACAGCACAGCTGCCTTGTACGATTCACTATGGGACAGTCGCACGTACTCTCACATTTCACAAGTAAGGGTTGCAGGTCAAATATGTTGACGTCACTGGCACTGCGTTTTTCTGCACTTCGAGGACTGCGCGATTTCGGGGCGCCGTAGTTGACTATTCTGGGGCACGTTCTACCTTTGTGGAACCTGGGTGCTGAAAATAGCCCCACATAATATTTATACTTCGGACGAATTGCTTTTCTACGTTTTTGTCATACTCAATACAGGGTTAGTATCTACAACTATTTTTGATGTCATGAGTATTGGGCATGGTGGTTATCAATTTATTCTTCTTCAACATTGTATCCTTGGCGTTTGGGTCTCGGATTGTTATTATGTTTGAATGGTGGGGAAGGGGGATAAGAATTTGTTTCTTTTCACATTAGATCATGATCCGGGATAGTTGGGGATTGTTTTCCTTATAATTGGTTTACTCTTAGATGTTTTCTTTTTCTTGCTACATTTAGTACGTGCATTTGTTGAAGGCCCATGGTACGTGTGTACGTGTATATAGTGTGCTTAGATTCTTTTCATACTTAAAAGCATTTTAAAACAACTGAAATTGAATAAGACATTTTATTGTAAGGACAATATATTCAAGGCTCAATCTGCGTGTACTCATAATTTCTAACACTTAACCCCTACTTAGCCCCTACTTCTACGACTTGTAATGAAAATATCTAAAAAGTATGATTTCCATACACAATGTTACGTTTTCCCTTATTTTCTAAAATTCTGTCATTAAAATTACTTTCTGATTGGTTAAAATGGTTACAAAATGTTACAAGTTCACTTATTTGTTGCCATGGTAACATTTCAAGTCTGCATTCTGAAGTTGACAGTTTGTAAGAATTGTGAGAAATGTTTTAAGTCAAATAAACTGTTTCCACGCTAACATATAATCGTTGCCATGGTAACTGAAACTGCCAATAATAAGTTAGAAGTCGAAACATGTCTATACTGTATGTGTAAACAATGAAAAAATATTGCAAATGCATATAAACTATTACAAGTTCAAGCGTTAAAATATCATTTTCAAGAAAACATTCGAAGATGAAGCTTAAATAAAGCTCGTTTTTAACCCTCTCCCAAACGTCATTTGTCTGCTGGAGATACTCCCGTACCTCTCCTCATTACTATAATTACATAGGTATTATTAATCGTTAGTTAATTATCGTCGTTAATTATTAATCTGTTTCAACTCACGGATCGGTGTAAGGCACATGCTTTCGACACCTGATGGACACTTCACAGGACAACATTTCGTGCCTAATGGACATGTCCCGTTGGGACGTGTCCCGTTCCCGTCGCATTTCCCGTCACAGAGCGCATTTCCCACGATGGTTGGACATACGCACGACCTTTTCGTTCGTGTCCTCGACGCATCTGTGTTAAGGAAAACCTAAAAAGTAAATCACAAAGGTTTGTATATACACTGTATGTATATTTGCACAGGGTGTCCCAAAACATTTTAACCAAATGAGACGAGAATAACGCCTTTTTCTTCATCGAAAAAATAGAAAGTTCACTTAAGAAAAATTCATTTTTTCAATAAGCAGTTAAAAATTTATAGAAATCTGTGGTTCATTGCTTCCTGGGGAATTTGACATTCTAGGTGACATACTCTAGATTACCTACATCATAATCAACGCAGAAATGAATGCAATTTCAAAGGTTGAAAACGGGTGATGGTTCTAAAACAAGATTTTCGCAAAAACTAAAAAAGTTGGCTAATGAAACTTTCAGATTATTTATGTCAATTAAAGTGTCTGTCAGCTGGCCGAATTCCAAATATATTTCTTAATCACCTTCAGAGTTATTCCCTCTTGACAATGAAATATGGATGGTGGTTTTCTCTAAAACTAAGTAGATCTACCTGGTGAAAATTTTAGATGTTAATGACTCTCTATCAGATGATCAAATTTCTAGACAATTCGTTCATTGCTCACAGAGTTATTCCGTGTTAATCTCAGTACAATATTTTGAGACACCCTGTATATTATTATACACATTGCAAAGAAAATACTGTAAAATACATGTAGACGACGTCAGCTTTGATCTACTTACAACTGATGACGTGCTGGTACCATGACGATCTATTTTCAACTAAAGAACATATTGCTATACTATAAACTAGATCTACTTACAAATGATGAACACGCGATGTACAATATACCAAGCATCATTTTGCAGTGTGTTTCATTCATTATCAATGCCACAACCAAAATATATATCCGTCCAGTATATTACTCTTTACATGTAGTAATTTTAATATTCTGAGTTATTTTTATTCTCGTTGTTATAAAAACACGTAATTTGTGTATGTTTACCGCCACATTGGTGCATAATCATTCCATTTTTCAAAGTGTTTCTCATATATGCTCACCTACGAGAGAAGTCATTCCCGCAACAACATGGATGAAGTCCGGTTTAAAGATTCCAAAGTCTTCTAAACTTGTTAACTTAAAGAATACTAATTTCTGGCTCCCCGTTCATTTTAATATGTATTTTTATGTGTAATTGAGGAAATAAAATACAACTTTTTGAAAAATGTATTAGGTTAAGTGATTAAATTGAATAATAGTTATAATATCAATTGTAATTTTTGTTTACTATTTGCTTTGTTGTTTACATACATGTCCATCGATACAGCGTCTCATATTATCCACTGTTCTTGCTAGAGATGTCATTTAGAGTTATATATCGTTATTGGCCATAACTCCTCATTTAAACACTGATTTCAACAAGATTTTTAGAGCTCATAGATAAAACCTCGTGTCTTAGCTTAAAAGTTTGTAATAGTAATGAATGTGCAGGAAATGCTTTTTCAACGTTGTTGCTTGTTTTCGTGTATTTTAAAAGAATAATTTACTGTAGTTTCTAAAACTATTTTTGATGTCACGAGTTTTTGTTTTTATAATTATGTGAAATGTATTTTTCAACATTTGTTGTAATGGTGTTCAATATTAATGAAATGCCCCGTGATATTGTGGTCTAAGATTGTGATAATGGATTCTGAATGGTGGGGAAGGGGTATTCGACATTGTATCTTTACATGGTAGATGATAGTCTGGGATATTTGGGGTTTGCCTTCCTTATGATGGTTGTCCTCGTAAATATTTCGTTTTCTTGCTCTGTTTTTAACACCTCTTAGTATTTTCCGTTGGCATGTTTACCATGGTTGGCGTTCTCATTGTTATCATTTGTTATCTGACTTCCGACCTGTCAGATTTTTTAATTCCGCCATATTTTAACTTGAACCATTGTTTCTTAATAATGTCGAAGTAGATTGATATCCATAAACGCAATGTCAAAATATTGAAATAGAAAACATTACGTGTGAAAATAAATTACAAATACAGTGCAAAGCAGAAAGGATCAACAATGATAATGATATTGAATATAAGTCCCATTGTTTGATTTACATTATGATTAAAGACGTGTAAAATAACATCCTTATACAATAAAAGTTGCTGTATATACGACAAATAGGCGATAAAAGCATGGTAGGACGAATTTTACGACATCGAGTTATGTGGATGACTCTTTATGTTAGACATTGTAGTGTAAGTTATTGTATGATATATGATTCAAATATGGAAATAAAATAACCTTGAAAAATAATTGTATTGTAAGTATTGTATTGTAGACAAATACTATTCTAGTACTATGTAGTACCATCATGGTAGTACACTCCCCTTCATAAATTTGGCAACCGCTTTTTGTATCAATTAAAGTAGAGTCTGTTAATGTTTGGCGACTGAACATTGATCAAAATCATAATTTCCGAAATGTTGTAATAATGAAATAAAATTAAGATTCAGACATTTACAGGCTTCAACATGCTTTCCAATAAAACTTCGGGTTGTCAAACTTATGGAGGGGAGTGTAACGATATTTATGAAGGAGAGTGTAACAATACTTATGAAGGAGAGTGTAACAATACTTATGAATGGGGTGTACATGTTACACCGGAATAAAATGGTGACCATGCAGAAAAAGATGTCCCTCCCAACAAAATGATAAATGAATTACAGTTATTGTAAGTAAGCAAATTAAAGATTATCCAAACTTTTTATTAATCAATCGGAATCCGTTGTCGCGATTGGCGAATTTATTTTTACTAAAGACATCGTTACTGTTTCTGCACTAGTAAAACCCAAGATCGTACAATTTTTACAAGAAAACTGAAAAAAATGAAATTATTTATTTTTATGTACAAATGCACGAAAAAATATATTCATTTATGCCGTGTTATGTCTGAACATTTATACCATTTGAATTCGTTTGACTCCGGGCATGTCCTGGTGACTTTCGCTCTGAGACCGAGAGGCAATCATGTATTTAATTCGTCTTTGCGTTTGGAGATGCGAAAAGAAACGCTTCAAAGGTTGTAAGTGCAGAGGTGGCGTTCGACACATGTTTTACTGCAGGTGGACTTTCGTGAAGTAAATTTCAAAACAATCGTATATAAACTTGACGCACTTCCTTAGATAGTAAAAATATAAAATGTATAGATCGGAGCACCTGGTCGGAGTCAATGATGACACGCAAAGTCACATGTTAATCCTGATAATGATGCCCATTCAAACATGACCGTGCTCTATTCGAATTTCTCAACCAATCAGAATGTAGCATAGCCAATATAGAACGTTCTCTAATTCTCCATAGATGCACGACCATGCTCTATTCAATCTGCAATTTGCATTGTTTTGAGTGACGTCACATCTCAGCTGCACATCTGGGGCTCTGTCCGGGGATAGTTGTTCTTTTTTTACTCCCTCCGTAACTACTGTAACTATATTTTATCAACACTCCATGTTTGCATACACCGTATAAAATCTAAAACGGGGAGTAAAATAGAACAGCCCAAACAAATTCTAAAAATTTTCCGGCCGCGGACTTCAGAATCTTGACAGCATGCGTATTCTTCCTTCATGCCCGTTCCACAGACACGACTTTTACCCAATTTTTATGTTTGAATCGGAATAAATAATGATAGGCCATTCAATATGGTGAAATTCAGCACTCGTTGGACAGAATGTTAGTACAAATGCACTCACCTTCGGTTCGTGCTTTGTACAACATTCTGTCCAACGAGTGCTGAATTTCACCATATTGAATGGCCTATCATTATTTATTCCTTAAATCAATGATACTATTCATACCTAGTATTCATAACCAGATTTAGGAATTAACAAGTCAGGATAAATACGTGTTTTGCATGTAAACTTATACAATGGTATTGGAGGACTCGATCTATACGATGTGATATACCATAAATGATAAATGAAGATAAATATCACGATTATAAGCGTAAAGTTAAGTACTGGTTTTATTCTGCATATATGAATGCAGTCCTTGGTGAATGAAAGAAAACATGTGCGAACAGCAAAAATAGGGCATAGAGCGAGAGAATCGGGAATAAGATACATTTGTTTTGATCTCAGATTTGTTGCAATCGAATGACTGACTCTGAGTGGATCATGTCAGAGCTTTACTTTAAGGAAGATGCCAACTAGGAGAGCATTGCGTATTGCATTGTTGCATTGTACACTAGGAGTGCAAACATCAAGTGCATTGCAGATTGGGAGTGTTAACCAGGAGTGCAATGTGTACTAGGAGTACATTGCCTATTAGGAGTGCATTGTACGGAAATGGAAAGGTGGGTGTAGTATACTGTTAGATTCAAGTCATCCCTCCTTTGTATACTATACACGATTGGGGAAAATAGGGGACAGACACTTAGTATACGTACTGTATCCGTGTCCTTTGCTTAGTACATGGTTTCTGTATATATGTAAATAGGCCATACTTTTTAAAGGGACTTTCAACATGACATATCACTCGGTTCACAAATTTTGACAGTTCTCTTTCATCTATATTTTAAAGTGAGATGCCACCTGGAATTAAACGGAGGAGGAATGTTTTTTGAAAGACCCCAATCTCTTTCTCCATTGTACCCAAATAAGGCCCATTTAACCATCTACGCCCATCCTTCATCTGGACTACCTTGCCGGGTGATAATCACTATACAGTAAAACCTGTCTTAGTGAACAACTCTCTTTAGTGAACACCTGTTCCTAGTGAACACCTTTCCTCCACACATACTGATTGTTGGATAAATGACCCTCATTGTAGTGAACACTTACCAAGACTAAACATTTTTCTCTCGGCAAAAAAATGTTCAATAAACACACGTTTTACGATACTGTCGCTGACAAGATCCGAGGCTTTTCATGTCACCTGATTTGCCATTGTTTCATGTCATCTGATTTGCCATTGTGAGACTCGTACAATCGATCCATCAATTGTTAAAGTAATGGATTGCTATCAGACAATAAATGTAAACTAAGCCTTACACATGTACTTCATGAAGTAGACGTTCAATAAACTTAGTTGATGGAAATATGAGCATGTATAGGAAACATTGTGACCTGACAATGCGGTCCTGAACATATCTCATCGTGACCAATGACATCTTCTTTATATAGCCTAGTAGGGATTTATGGAATTTACAAACATCAGCAATGCCAATTTTTGAATCATTATATACATTTTGCATTTATTACAATGCCGGGTTACATTATATACGAGGGTTGTCCCAGAAGTAATGCACTATATGCTCTAACTTTCTTTAATATTCTTTAATTCAGCTGAAATTTTGTGTATATAACAATTGAAGTTTTATCTATTATATCCTGAAGTTTCAGCATCCAACATTAATATTAAGTCTTAATATGGTTGCTATAACAACATGGGGGTAGGGGTGGGCGGGGCAGGTACCAATTTTTCTAATTATGAAAAGATCTAAAGTGTTATTTTATTAATATTTCTTTTCTTTTAAATGGTCAAAATGTTTGGGAAATTGTTAGAATTATTCAGCATGATGTTAACCAAGTACGAATAATGACATTTAGCACTGTGATGTCATAATACCACATTTCAATAGTCTCGAATTCAAATACAGCCACAGTCAAGAAATTGCAAAAATAGCTGCAATTCTCACCTGATAACAGAAGGCCTTGCGTTTGGTGGCCTAATTTCATACTTCACTTGGACTCACAGCCACGCAAAACAATGCTACCATGAAGAAAGTATATATGGAGTATATACCAGATAGAAGTACAATTATGGGGTGGCAGAAGAGATTTAAAAGAGACGATTTGACCCTGTATGATAACTCAAAACATGGGAGGGAAAAACTCCACAGTCACAGTGGAAGAAATTGCCGAGAGTGTTTGACCTGACAGGGATCAAAAGTACATAACATGCAAAGGGCAATATTTTGAGAAAATGTGAAATGGGACACTTTGCAATATACATCCGTTAAATCTTGGATGTTCTCATAGTAATTTAGTATCTTAAAATGTATTTTTGAGTATACTTCTTATAGCTACACAAATGGTATTTGTTGATTAATTATTTCATACTTTCAATTTTTTATTCCTTTTGACGTGACTGTATAACCTGCCCCGCCCTACCCAAACTCACCAACTTGATTTTATTTTAACATCAATATAGTTTTATCAGTCAACTTGAAAATTTGTAGAATAATCAAAATGTATCTAAGGAACATTTACTGAAAATTTCATGGAAAAATATCAATTATTGATAAAGTTAGAGCATATAGTGCATTACTTCTGGGACAACCCTCGTATTTGTTATATAGTGTGTATTCCTTTTTATGTCAATAAAACAAATGAATATTGAAGGTCTGACTAAAGAGATCCACCTTGATTTAAGAAGATGTCATCTAATGTTTAACTTTATATTTAAGTTTATTGGCCTAACAAAATACATGTATTGCCGAGTACAAGTTAACAGTTATGCATGCAATGTATAATGATAAGAAAAAATACAATGCATAGTATAAGCAAAGTGAAAACCTTCTGAATTGTTAATTAGTTCCTTCGATATAAGCTGCCTTTATATACCCATAAAAACTCTTACAACCATCGAATAATTTCAGGATTTGAGGTCTTCATTAAGGTTGTAGAAGTATGGCATCCTTGTATGTGATTTATAATAGACTTGAGTATTCATGTTCTCGCTTTTTAAGGAAGTACAATTAAAAATAAAGTGTGACAAGTCTTCCTCTACAGTTAAAGTTCAGGTGTACACAATAGACAATCAGAATTGCCACCGATGTTTTTGTACTAAGGCTATCCTTCAGTTTAGATGTGTTACAATGGAGATATGATGTACATGTCTTCAGCTTAGTGTTACTGGAACTGAGATAATGCGGTAAATATCTATAATTTTTTTAAATATCAACTGTAAACTCACTGATAATTTGTTTAAAATATCAACTGTAAACTTACTGATAATTTTTTAAAATATCAACTGTAAACTCAATGATACTTCTTTTAAAATATCAACTGGAAACTCGCTGATAATTTTTTTAAATGTCAACTGTAAACTTACTGATAATTCTTTTAAAATATCAACTGTAAACTCACTGACTTTTTCATTAACATTTTGTAAATATCGATTTAATGTACATTGACACTCTGACATTCGGGGTACTGAAGACATTGTTTTTCAAAAATCACGATACCCGTGAAACATTCTGATTTACCGCAAGCCCTCTTTAATACTTGGTATTTCCTTCAAGTGTTTTCAAGAGATAATAATGTTGTGTCTGATACCAAAGTTCCGTCAAATGCGTAATAGTCAAATGTTTGGCCAACGGGGAAACCTCAAATCGGTTGTGGTAGACTATTTGAGGAGAGGAGTGGTATCGCTAATGTGTCGAAGCCTATATAGATGAAGCTCTCTTTTAAGAAGCAAAACAAAAGTGTATGAAATGTTTGTACAGTACCAATGGAATTTACTGTCCGTGTACAGTAATTTACACATTTTGAGACATGTAGACAGAAACAGGGACAAGAATTCATACTTTACATCGTCACTATTGTTGAGTATTGGTTACACCGTGTCGCCCTTGGGTTAATGTAACCTAAGATTTCTATGATCCTCTCTAGATCCTTGCCCGTAGCCAGCTTTTACCAGGGGGGAGCTTTTTTCCAGGGGGGGGGGGGGGGCTTTTCACAATTTTGGCTAAAAATCATGCTAAAAATTCTCAGAATGGTGAAAAAAACTGCATGATTTTGAAAGAATTTCTGGCCAGGGGGGGGGGGGGGGCGGAAGCTCCCCCAGCTCCCCCTCTGGCTACGGGCCTGAGATCATATTCATAATTGCAGATTGTAGATGTAACTGAATGATAAGTATGACGGCTGTAATCTTTGATCATAACAGACCCATCAATGTGTCATTATTGATTTTTAAATGGAAATGTTCTGTCTATGTTTGAATACATTCTCATTCGTGTAAACATTTGTAATGTATAAAAGATTAATCGATAATTATACTCTATACATCCCCGTTCATAAGTATGGAAAGTGAATATGGAAATAATAATAGTGTTAACACCACCGTTCATAAACATGGAACGAATTATAGTGTCTACCCAAGCGTGCATAAATATGGAAAGAATTGTAGTGTTTACACCAGCGTGCATAAATATGGAAAGAATTATGGTGTTTACCCAAGCGTGCATAAATATGGAAAGAATTGTAGTGTTTACACCACCGTTCATAAATATGGAAAGAATTATAGTGTTTACACCACCATTCATAAATATGGAAAGAATTATAGTGTTTACACCACCATTCATAAATATGGAAAGAATTATAGTGTTTACACCGCCGTTCAGTGGTTGTTAGTAGTTTGCAAAGGCAAATGTGATATTATGTCATTGGCAACAATCTGACAATAACTATTTGAAACCCCATTAAAGTTGGAGAGGTGAATAAATCCTTAGAGTCTTAAGTTACCACTCCAAAGCTAAGAATAGAGGACATAAAGTTGCCTTTCAAAAGGAATACAACATTTCTGTAATGCTCGTTTTGTAATTTATGAAAAAAGAAGTTGATATTTGATCAAATATGCAGTTATAGAAGGTGCTTTATCACGAAATGAGGCTGAATTATATAAATGACCTGTTATTTATTTATGTTTATTTTATCCACCAGAATTGGTGTGTTTACATGTGTTATATAAAATATTACATAAGGGGTTGAGATTATTATGTTACATACAATAATGAAAAAAACAATTAAAATGTTTATGTACAACCAATCCCTGGTGTTGACGGACGTCAGGCTACCGCGTTGACGCCGTCAAGTTACTACTATCTGTTACATGCAATAAGAAAAACAAGTTCTCCACCTAATATTTGCCGTTGACGGACGCCAGGCTACCGCGTTGACGCCGTCAAGTTACTACTATCTGTTTCATGCATTAAGAAAAACAAGTTCTCCACCTAATATTTGCCGTTGACGGACGTCAGGCTACCGCGTTGACGCCATCAGTTAACCTACACTTTACCTATTACTCTTTAGCTACAATATGATATTGTCCACCTATCATTTATCAAACCAAATCTCATTAAAAATTATGGTTAACTAATCAAAAATCTACATTTGGTCTTGCCTCATACATTCCATAAATTGACAGAGCTATCTTAATATATTGATCCTCTGTCAGTACATTATTTTCGCCAAATAAAATCGGTAACAACACGTCATTCGGTGGGAGAGGGGTATCAAGGTACATCTGAATAAGAATATTCTCAATATCCTTTCGTTTTGCCTTATGCCCCGGACATTCTAGTACCATATGAACTAAATTCTCAATAGCTTCGCCACATACCAAGCATAGATCATTTATCTTGCCACCCGACCACCGTTTACAGTTAACCATTAGATTTCCTTCACCCGTTAATAATTTAACGATGGTTCTACATGGTTTAAGTAGCATGGGATTACATTTTGCTAGGGTCCACCATACAAGGGGATTTATCTCTTTTTGAACCATTCTGAATAAAGACAACTTTTCAAACAAAATACACTGTACTCTCCAATTGCTTAATTCCCGTTCATACACAACATTTTTCACACGTCTTTTCCATTGCAATTTTGGGATAGTTCCAACATTGAGCATTTCATATACATCACCCAGAAGTCCAAAAGATCTAGCTATCTTAAGACAATCTCCAATTGGGGACAGTTTATGAAGGTTATAGTGCGTTGCAAAAGTTAATCTTACTATGACCAGTTTCTTATACACATTTGTGATAGGAAGTGCTAACAGCTGCCAAAGTAGCATCAGTTTACTAATGAAAATTCTACTTGATATTGAGTGCCACCCTAGTGTTGCTGTGCACGCGGGATTACAAGTTTTTGCTGAAATTCCTTGAATCTTTTTAGCAATTTCTCTATGCCCTCCTTCCAGTTTACTCAATGCTTGCTCGTTCACAGAAATTAATTCCAGGCCATATGTTAGAGATGGCATACATATCGACCAGTACAATCTTGAGGCAGTTAAGGGGTTCGTGGGGTTGTTGATCGTTGATGTCACACCAATATAGGCATTCATAGTACGCCTTCCTTTAGAGACGGCATTGTCTACATAGCTTAAATCTGATTTTGGTGTAAGGTGTAATCCTACATGCTGCATTGAATCAACTACCTGTAACTGTTTCCCCCCGAGTAGTAAGTGGGGTTTAGGCGGATCCCTTTGATAACTAAAAACGACTGTTTGGCATTTGTCTGGGTGATATTGGAATCTCCATTTAACACTGTATCGATACACCTTATCCAATAGTTGCTGCATTGATTTGGCATGATATGCAATTAAGACAGTATCATCTGCAAATGTGGGGCTTGTTGAGTTAATACAACATATAGTGCTACCAATGTTACATTTTTGTATTTCATTTAGTAATTCATTTGTAAATCTGGCATACAATTCCATAGAATAAATTCCGCCCTGGTGGACCCCCTTTTCAACAACAAAAGGTTCAGACATGGGACAGTTTGGAGAAGCCTTAATTGTACATCTGTAGCCATTATATGATAATTTGATTAACCTCCATAACTTGCCATTAATACCTTGATTGTATAATTTATATAATAGACCATCGTGCCACACACTATCGAAGGCTTTTTTAATATCTAGTGACGTCACGATGACGTCATTGCCTAACTCAAGTCCATGGGATATAGCCTCTCTGGCTAGAAGTGACGTGTGTATGCTTGAGCATTTTGGAAGACCAACACCTTGCATTTCAGACTTGGGTTCAAGACAATTGCATTGTTCACTTCTTATCATCATTAACCGTTCCATTATTTTCATGTATGACGTCATCAGTGTGATGCCCCTGTGGTGATCCTTATTTAGGGGATCTTTTACACCGCCTTTAAATAACGGAATCAAGACACCCAATTTGAAATTCTCAGGGATATGTTCCAAAGATATTATACAATTAAATAATTCTACAAGTACGTTTAAAACGATTGTACCTCCTTTGTTTAAATGTTCTGAGCATATTTGGTCCCAACCAGGGGCTTTATTTTTTGAAAGCTTGGAAATAACCTTTTCAATTTCTGCTACAGAAACAGGTTGTTCGAATGCTAGATCATTGTTTAGAAAGCTTTCATGCTCCATTCTGGCGATATCATTATTAACATTTTGAAAAAACATATTATCATAGTCATCTTGATCACTTCCATGAGCAGACACCAATTTCATAAAATAAGATCTCCATTCATTTGTGACGTCGTTATCATCAGTCAATATAACTCCATCATCTGTTTTGATTGCAATATTCGGAGCTGATCGTGGCTTCCGTTTTTTAACCAGATGCCAGAATTGGTTTAAAGATATTTCTTCTAGCTCGTCAATCTCCTTCTGACATCGGATTTCATAGTTTTGCTCACATTTTCTCAATTCCCGCCTAAAACATCTTTTTGCATCCTTATATGCTTCCCAGTGAACATTTCCCGGAGAGCGCGGTTTTCAACCTGTTATAGTAATTTCAAGTAATGTTTATGAATGTCGATGGGGGAGACAATGAATATTTCCCATTGCATTTCCCCGGGCAATCATGTTTCTATTGAACTGAAGTAGAGCAAGCTCCCACTCTCATCATTGATTACCTTTACAAAGACTTTTATGTGTTTAGCCTCTAAACCACTTTTAATATTTAAAGTAAGTCTTAGTCTACCAGTACGTATTGTACATGTGGGATAAAAGGTTTCATATAAAATAGCAAAAGTTTGTTTGTATACAGTACGGTACTATATAGAACATGGATTCAGTTCTTTTAGTTTCTGATATATGAGAATGTTACACATATGTACAAGTCATTCTTCATCAAAAGGGTGGAGATTTAGGATTAATCAGATCTCATTTTAAATCGATCAGAGCAGCTGTGTTTAAATGAAAATAAAAGCTTATCGAATACACGTATACTCGTCTCTTGCGTCGGATTAATTTTTCATATTTTCAATTTGGAAATACGAGAATAGTATCGTTTAATTAAAAGTTTGTATTAACATTTCAGATGTACAAGCTACAATCGGGATTGATCGAAGCGGAGATATGGTGATTGAACCCAGAGGATAGAATAATTGAGTGAATCGACAAATAGCAGAACATTTACGGGCAGGTTGAATTAACTTTAATGAACTAATGCAGCATCGAAGAACATTGTTAATGATGCTGTGAAGAAACGTCATCACATCCAGTCGATGACCTTCATCAGGTGACCTTATTAAAGGGGTACAAACTGTTGAGAACGGGGATTTATATTGTCACACCTTAGCGTTGGATATTATACTTAACTTAAAGGGGCACACACTGTTAGGAACGCGGGTTTCTATTGTCACACCGTTGGACATTATGATTAAAGGGCCTCTACGTTGAATATATTAATTTAAATGGCTACACACAATTAAGAACTGAGATGTCTTATATCATACCTTTACGTTAGACATATTATTTAAAGGGACACACACGACTAAGAACGGAGATTTTTTATGTCACACCTTCACGTTGGATATATTAATTAAAGAGACACACACTGTTCACTGCCTTCACGTTCACATCTTGTTGCCTTGGACAGATTAAAGGGACATACTAGTCTCCACCTTTATCACGTGACACTAAAATATGCAGCTCAGGTTACTACTGAACTTCAAATCCTAATTACTTAATGCATTTGAAGACATTTATTAGGATTAACTGAAACGTTGGGATTGCACTGGGGCCTACGATCATTTTATTCACCAAAGTAGTATTTGAATTAACGTATACAATGCATAACATCTTACACTTTGTTTCACAACAAATTTTGGATTAGACCCAGTGTTTTATGGCAACTGCCTAGGAAATTATATATAGGATGTTAGTATATTAGTTCGAGGCAATCACGATTCAAATGCCGTCATTGTTCCCAAAACTATTAAAGGTGAGAGCGGGCAATCTACTGGCGATCTTGTGCTTCTTAAGTATCTTTATTTACGTTACTTTTATGATGGATGGGCCCAACGATAGCGTCCAGGAGGCATATGGGCAGCAACAACTACCATACAGGTGTGAAAATATTAATGATATTAAACTTATAAGAAAGCTAGGTGAAGGTTTAAGTAAAGAGGTATTTGAAGGGATGCATTATGATGGCTACCATGGCAACAGAGTTGCAGTTAAAATGGTTACCGATGAAGTCCAGGTGGTTGCTAGGTGTTTGAATCACCTGGGAGAAGATGAAGATAGTCTCCGTTGTTTTACATTCCCTGCCATGAGACTTATGAAGGAAATACTCATCCTTCAGCAGCTCAAACATCAAAACATTGCCCGGTTGCTAGGTTACTGTCTCCATAGTGACCAGTTTATGACGACAATGGATACGAACGTTGATTTAAAACAACATGGCTTAGTTGCAATCCACGAATACGGCACCCCGATCTCAATCAGTGACATCCTCAATTGGTCACCCAACCAACAACTTCATGTTATAACTGAACTACTCGATTTGCTCATCTATCTGGACGACTCCCCTATGGGATCAGTCCTAGTCCCGGAAATTGCTGAAAAACACATATTGCTTTCACTGGACGGTCACGTGAAACTAATAGATTTCGAGGACGTAACAAGTGAAGAGCCCGTGTGTTCAAAAAGGGAGCCCTGCAGGCACAGGGTTCCCTGTGTGAAAGGGACATGCAAGGGGTTCAATGCTAAAGAGAACCTTGATAACATGCATGAGTTGATACTGAGACAATTGTTGCTGAACTCTGACATACCAGACTTAGTTGGAAGTATTGATACCATAGAACATTATAACATCAATGCAAGTCAGTTGAAAGACTTGGTGATGAAAAATATGTGAAAGTCCTCGATGTTTACATCATCTCCGAACGCAAAGGCACCCTCCACAATTTGATTCATGAATATATCAAGTGTGAAGGACCAGCCATTGTGGAAGATTTACACAGTAACAATATACAGAGCAGAAATCATAAGTCTAAGAAATCATTAAACAGGGTATTAAAAGTTATGTCTTCAGGGTAAATTGTGCAATCTTCACAAACGTTCCTCATAAATATTACAGACAGTTGTACATGTAGATCATTTTCATTGATTGTCGAGTTGATTGATGTGAAAATGAAGTACTTGATTGAATAGATAAAACAAGGGACCAAGATGGGACATGGATCCATGATATGACATTCATATTTCATCAGCAACATCATGTGTAAATGAGAGTCTGACTTGTCCCTATAAATGCTTCAATTGGGTTTGATTGGTTTGATAGCTTATGACTGATTTGCTCTCTCTGTATATTGAACATTTTGCCAAGAAAAAATGTTCAGTGTTGGTAGGTGTTCACTACAGAAGGTAAATTATACAGAAGTCAGTGAGGGGTGTTCACTAGAGAGGTGTTCACTAGGGCAGGTTTTATTCTATATGTATATATGATCAAGCAGTGCTACCTGTCCTGTTTTTCCAATGCACAACACAATCCTGAAGATACAATCATCTCAATTTGCAGTGACAGGTTATAATGACATACTAACTGTGTATAACATATCAATTACTACCAAAGTGCCAGTGGCAACTCATTGTATTGTACTGAATAACACATTCTTAATCCATGATTGTAGCCTCAAGTTTAACTCCAGAAATTGCATAAATGTAAATCATATTATGGTTTATATCCTTATGATATTCATCTGAATGTTTTATAACTAATGAATATAGAATGTTAAAAGGAAACTTAGGTAGATACCACTGATTGAAGGAAAAGCAAAGGATAGGGGTGAAAAACTTTGAAAACCACAATTTACAATTTGTTTTGCTTTCAGCATTTCATGTCATATGGCTTTTTTCTAAATATCCGACAGTTCTATACAATGTTTAAATTGTTTGAAAAAGTGGAGATGCCATTTCTACACCTCAAATCTTAAACTTCTTCCACATAAGATCAGATATCTCATTTCCAGATAACAAAGACATTGATGTTTTACATTGAAGACTTTTTCAACATTTTTCACTCTATATTCTTTGCCGCCACTTTAAACATATTCACATTATGAGAAGTATTCACACACACAGGTTTTACTGTACATGGCTTTGTGGTAGGTAAGAGGATATTTCCTCACATTAATCTTTATTTTTGGCAGTAGACAGACATAGTAGTAGCAAAAAGTGGAATACTGCACATTGTTTTCATGCTGTGGAAAAAAAGAAACATTTCATTCATAGATATTGCTGATGAAAACATGTGCAAGCATTTCTGATTTCAATTCCTGCTTAAAGCACCTTTTCTGATGTCAAAATTGTCTTCCCTCCGTATACATTTCTCTGTTAGATTAGATATACAGAATGTCCCCTTTAAAAACCCCTCACTAAGGTCATATCCAGTTTTATTTATCAACTATTTTCCAAATGTCACCTTTAAGGGGGTTCTTTTGTATTACACAGGTGTAGCTTGTAGCTAGCAAGCCTTTTAATAAATATTATGTCAAAGTGGATTTACAAATAAGAAATAAAGAGATAAACTAAAATGTGTGATTTGTTACAATGACATTTCTGTCAATTATATTTATATACCTTTTTACATTCATTTTATATATGTCTCTAAATATCAACATTATGTACAATTAACAGAAATTTACAACATTGTTTTTCTATATTGGATATTTCACTAAATAACAATATTTATAGAATTATCAAGACCTGATCTTTGTAAATAAATGGACGAATAATATAGCTACTTCCAACTGTTGGAAATCCCTCATTTATTTACCAGTCCAGTAGACAGTCTACAGTACACGTATAGTATTGTATACAATATGCTTGTATACAATCAGCAAGTATACAATATGCTAGTATGATAGAAGTGTCAGTGAAACTTGTCATAAATGTGACGAAAATTGCATGCATAGATTAATATTTAACAAGTGATTGGATATTTTTTATAAATATTTATAACTTTTTGATATTCTGAAATCCCTAAGAAAAGTATTACCTCATGAAGTACTACATAACTAATAGAAGCAACTGAAGCCAAGCCATAAAGGGCTGAATTGCTCACTCAGTTATTACCATGACAACTGTGTTGTGTCATTGACACAATGTTGCTATGGTAATTTAGGTATGCAATACATCAGATTATAGTACAAAGGCATATTTCATATAATAGCTGCATAACAGCAGTGCAGTATTAGTGATGTGCCAAATACATATTTCAATTGTGATAGATTTATTAGATTACATAATGATAAGGAATGTCTTTCAATTGCTGGAATATGATTCTTAAAAGCAGTGCTAGTCATACTCGTTTTAATACAAATTGATCACAATCAATCATCAGATCAATGTTTCACAATTTGAAATACAATATTGTATACAATATTTTTTTATTCCTCCTTTAGTAGTGTTAATAAGTTCCATGATGTCATTTTTGATAGAAATAAAAATATTTACCTCAAAGCGGAAATCATGACAGATCATGGTGAAAAAAAGTGAAAACAAATGTTTAAAGCAGCTTTTAACATTTCATTTTGTTGATATCCTAGGTGAGTACTAATGGACTTGTATCATAACCATTCAATTAACAGTGATGCAAGGAACTCAAAAGCTGACAAGAACTGCATGATTCTATCTCAGTTATAATTCACCTCTTTTTAACAAAGCTAACTCAATTTATCTCCTAAGAGACACTACATGACTCCCATGTTTGTTCGTTGTATTGTGTCTCATACATGTTATATTCATTAAGGTATAATACTATATATTGCACTTAACAAGGCAGCTATCAGCCTCTAACAGTCAACATTCACTTTAAATAAATTCTAATGTGCTGTTACCAATACCCAAAGACTACTATCTAATTAAATTGATACTGAAGTCCTATGTTTTGGCTGGAATGGGAGTTTTGAGAGGAAGACATCTATAGTTAGACACATTTATAACTCCCTCTGAATATTAGCAGCAGCACATTGCCTGATAATTAAAATCACATCTCTACAATTGTATTGCCTATAGATGTCTCTAGTTTACAATATAGGGATGTAACTGTCGATCTTTGCTCTGTGACGTTGGGCGACACATTCTCCAATCCAGATGATGTTGCGGTTTTCTTGTTCCTTGAGTTTTACGTAAGCGTAGAAGACGCCAAAATGGAACTGTTGCATGAAGGCATTTACCATTAGCTTCACCTGGAAAAATATTGAATTCTTAATAACATTTGAGATCCAATATATTTGATATATAAAGGCATATACAAATACATATATTACATATTTTTCCATTTTCTCATTCTGATACAATACATTTGTTATTCAAGTTCTATCATAACATGTTTTCATTTAAGTGAGTTTAAACACTTCTAATAAGGCACTCCATGGACTCTCATTCAGTTAAAGTAATAACCGAGAAATTGTTTCCTATAGCTTGGTTTTGCGGAGGTTGAAGTTAATTGGTAAAACCCCTGCCAAAAACATCCTTATAAGTTATACTTGGGGATTACAGGATCATTCAAATAATGACAATATGAAACTATAAAGAAGTCCTAATACTCTAAGAGCGAGGAGGAAAATTCTTAATAAATGGAGTATAGTTGGTTTGGCAGCATTTTCAGTTAGAGGGAAGTCTTGGTTGAAAATTCTACCTAGGTGATAGCTTCACAGAGTGGTACATAATTCTTTTTTTTCAGGGGTTAGCCCCCCACCCCCCAAAAACACCCCACCCCAAGAAAATAATTTTTTCATTCTCAATAACTTTAGATATCTTGATGTTTGTAAGTTACATACATAGACATTATATATATGAATCATTTACAAAATAAATAATGCCAATCACTCCTACAGAATTTGAAAAATAGTACAAAGTATGTACCCCAGGGGGCAAATTCGTGACCCATTTTCTTACTATTTAGAGCCTCACTTTTCAATCAGACACTGGAAGACATTGGAAAATTTCATGTGAAGTGCCCAGTAGCAGGGCTATAAGCCCTGAAAGGTTCGAACTAATTGAATTAGTCAGAGCCGAGAAAAAAATTGTTGATTTTTTGAAAAATATGACATTTTTGAGAGGGTGATTCTGTGTATTACTATAGCTGATGCCTATGGTTTCAAGATCTATCCCTCTTTGATGATAAATATGGTTTTGAAGTATGGAACTAAGATGTAAAAAATAATTAAAATGGGTTTTAAGGAAGTTTAATGTTTTAAACAAGTTCAAAATTCCAAGAATTGTACAATATCAGGTCTGAATTTACGAATTTTAGGTAAGACCTTGGATGAGCCTTAGATTTTTTACATCTGTCCCCCTGAGATGATATTTATGGTTTTGTAGTGTGGAACTAAGATGTACAAAATAATTTAGATGGTCTTTAAGAAGGTTTAAGGATTTTAACAAGTTCAAAATTTGAAGAATTGTACAATATCAGGTCTAAATTTACGAATTTCTGGGAAGACCTTTGGTGAGCCATATATTTTTTATATCTGTCACTCTTTGATGATATGTATTGTTTTGTAGTGTGGAAGAAGATGATATGTATTGTTTTATAGTATAGAACTAAGATGTAAAATACAATTTAGATGAATTCTAAGAAGGTTTAAGGATTTTAACAAGTTCAAAATTTAAAGAATTGTACAATATCAGGTGTGAATTTACGAATTTCAGGTAAGACCTTGGATGGCTCTTATGTTTTTACATCTGTCACTCTTTGATGATATGTATTGTTTTGTAGTGTGGAACTAAGATGTAAGAAATGGTTTAGATGGTTTTGAAGAGTGTTTAGGGATTTTAATGAGTCCAAAATTTGAAGAATTGTACAATATCAAGTCTGCAATGAATGAATTTCAGGTATAACCTTGGTTACCCCACATGATTTTAACACCTATCCCATTTTCATGATATATTTGGTTTAGTTGTGTGGAAATATGTATAACATAATTTACATCAGTTTTAAAGAAGCTTAATGTTTTAAACAAGTTCAAAATCTTGGCGTATTGTACAATATCAGATCTGAAATCAATGAATTTAAAGTATAACCTTACTTGGCCCTTATATTTTTAACATCTATCCTTTTTTGATGATATACAGTATATGGTTAAGTAGTGTGGAGCTAAAATGTAAATCATAATTAAGATCGGTTTTAAAGAAGTTTAAGGTTTTAAATAAGTTCAAATTTTGACGAATTGTACAATATCAGAGCTGATATTAATGAATTTTAGGTATTATGTTTCTTACATCTATCCCTTTTTGATGACATATATGCTTTAGTAGTGTTGAACTAAGATGTTAAACAAAATTTAGACAGGTTTGAAAGAAGTTTATGGTTTAAACAAGTGAAAAAATTGAAGAATTGTACAATAACAGGTCTGGAATTTATTAATTTTAGGTATAACTCTGGATGGCCCTTATTCGTTTTTTACATACATCTCTCTCTGATAACATATATGGTTTTGTAGTATGGACTTAATATGTAAAACATAATTAAGATGGGTTTTAAAGAAGTTTAAGGTTTTAAACAAGTTCAAATTTTGACTAATTGTACAATATCAGAGCTGATATTAATGAATTTTGGGTATTAAGGTGAGCCTTATGTTGTTTACATCTATCCCTTTTTGATGACATATATGCTTTAATAATGTTGAACTAAGATGTTAAACATAATTTAGACAGGTTTTAAAGAAGCTAAAGGTTTAAACAAATTAAAAAATTGAAGAATTGTACAATAACAGGTCTGGAATTTGTTAATTTTAGGTATAACTGTGGATGGCCCTTATTTGTTTTTTACATATATCTCTCTATGATAACATATATGGTTTTGTAGTATGAAACTAAGATGTAAAACATAATTTAGAAGGGTTTTAAGGAGGTTTAAGGTTTTAAACCTGTTCACAACTTGACAAATTGTACAATATCATATCTTCTGACATTAACGAATTTCAGGTATGTATCTCTCTTTGATGATATATATGGTTTAGTAGTATGGAACTAAGATGTAAAACATAATTTAGATGGATTTTAAGGAAGTTTAAAGGCAGAATCAGATCTATGGGTGTGACAAAATTACAAGCAACATGTGCAATTCATGTACCAATCTATTCCTTACAATCTCAAATACAATATCTCCAAAAAGATTCACGATGTGTTAAGTTTAAAGGCAGAATCAGATCTATAGGTGTGACAAAATTACAAGCAACATGTGCAATTCATGTACCAATCTATTCCTTACAATCTCAAATACAATATCTCCAAAAAGATTCACGGTGTGTTAAAAATTGATGAAGTTATAATGGATTCAAAGAGCAAAAATGGGTGAAAAATGTTTAAATTCTCCCAAAATAATAAAATGGTAACCATTCTTATGAAAATAATACATTATTGTAGAAATCCTTAGTTTTCCTGAAATAAAGTGTGCACTTTGGGGATTATTAGCAAATAGACAGAAAAGGAATGACATAAGCCAGAAATATTCAAAAAGGTCCATGTGCAGTATGGCAAGTGATTTAAGACGGTCATATATTTCACCATGAGTACTTTCCGGGCATAAATACAGTGGTTTTTATTGAAACAATATGTTTTCTTTCAAGTGAAGTCTCCTTGATAATAAAAATATCAATCGAACAATTCGAAAAAATGATAAATAGGGACCCCATGTCAACAATTTTTTCTAAATGTTTAGAGCCAACCAAGGTTATACTTGAAATGTAGTGTTAATAATGCAGATGCGAGTAAGTAGTTACCAGTTTCACCACCAGGTGGCTCGTTCAGGTCAGATAGCATGGCGGGTAAAGTAGAAAGTTCCCTTTAACTTAAAAATGGTTCTAATGGTTCAATTTTCATATAACCCTTATGTATCTAATAGTTATGCAAATTAAAATATGTCCAGTAATAGAAAATGTTATCTGTCCAATACAAGAAAAGATATTTCACTTTTTGTGGTTTTGTAACATGAGGTCTATAGGGAATCAACCCGAACTAGAATTCACATTTTCAAAAGAAATTAAATTTTCAAAGTTGATTAACAATTTTTGAAACCATATTTCTCGATGTACTTTTACATGTAGATTTCAAATGTGACTGAATTTTGAATATTTAATGACGTAAATCAAGTTTATTTTTACTCGCATCTAGTCTATTGCAGACCTAATATTGTACAATGCGCCAAGATTTTGAACATGTGAAAATCCTTAAACCTTCTTAAAATCAATCTTAATTGTTTTTTTACATCTTTAAGTTCCACACTACAAAATCATACATATCTTCAAAGAGGGACAGATGTAAACAATATATGGCTCACCAAAGGTCTTACCTGAAATTCTAAAATTCAGACCTGATATTATACAATTTTTCAAATTTTGAACTTATTAAATTCCTTAAACCTTCTTAAAATTCATCTAAATTATATTTTACATCTTAGTTCGTTACTATAAAACCATAAATATCATCAAAGAGGGACAGATATAAAAACATAAGGGTCATCCAAACTCATACCTTAAATTCGTAAATCCAGACCTGGTATTGTACAATTCTTCAAATTTTGGACTCATTAAAATCCTTAAACCTTCTTCAACTCCACCTAAGTTATTTCTTACATATTATTTTCACATTACAAAACATATACATCTCATACATATCATCAAAGAGGGACAGATGTGAAAAATATATGGCTCACCAAAGGTCTTACCTGAAATTCGTAAATTCAGCCCTGTTATTGTACAATTCTTCAAATTTTGAACTTGTTAAAATCCTTAAACCTTCTTAAAAACCATCTAAATTATTTTGTACATCTTAGTTCCATACTACAAAACCATAAACATCATCAAAGGGGGACAGATGTAAAAAATCTAAGGCTCATCCAAGGTCTTACCTAAAATTCGTAAATTCAGACCTGATATTGTACAATTCTTGGAATTTTGAACTTGTTTAAAACATTAAACTTCCTTGAAACCCATTTTAATTATTTTTTACATCTTAGTTCCATACTTCAAAACCATATTTATCATCAAAGAGGGATAGATCTGGAAACCATAGGCACCAGCTATAGTCATACACAAAATCACCCCTCTCAAAAATGTCAAAATTTTCAAAAAATCAACAATTTTTTTCTCGGCTCCAACTGATTCAATTAGTTCGAACCTTTCAGGGCTTATAGCCCTGCTACTGGGCACTTCACATGAAATTTTCCAATGTCTTCCAGTGTCTGATTGAAAAGTGAGGCTCTAAATAGTAAGAAAATGGGTCACGAATTTGCCCCCTGGGGTACATACTTTGTACTATTTTTCAAATTCTGTAGGAGTGATTGGCATTATTTATTTTGCAAATGATTCATATATATAATGTCTATGTATGTAACTTACAAACATCAAGATATCTAAAGTTATTGAGAATGAAAAAATTATTTTCCCGGGGTGGGGTGTTTTCGGGGGGTGGGGGGCTAACCCCTGAAAAAAAGAATTATGTACCACTCTGTGAAGCTATCACCTAGGTAGATTTTTCATCCGAGACTTCCCTCTAACTGAAAATGCTACCAAACCAACTATACTCCATTTATTAAGAATTCTCCTCCTCGCTCTTAGAGTATAAGTCAAATTGTGACATTTAATCTAAATCAATAGGTGAAGTGCTCATAATCTTGCAATAAAATCGAAAAATGGAATCTTTTGAAATTAAATGAACGAAAAAAAGATTTATTTCAAAATTTGTAATACTCATGTTTTCAGATTAACCCTTTCACGACAAGTGTCGCATTTCCATATACACAACGATTGGCGCATAAATGCGACGATGATACCGACCATATTAGATTCTGTCAATTCTGCCGTTATTGCCCAGGGAATACCAATCTTTTCGCTAGGTGTAATTGAGAAGCCATATTATGAGATGGAACAGTCAATTTCGAAAAACAATAAAAAAAAAGAAAAACAATATTTTCATGATTTTCTGAAGAATTTATGAGTCTATTTAAATAAATGCCTCACGAAACTAACCATGATGCCCTACCATTTCTGAAGTGGAACAGAGGAATATGAATGATTTAGACAGTGAAATTGGATTGAATGTGTCAATGATGATATTTTTGGTGATGAAACCAGAACAACGGCAACGCCAAAGCGTAGCGAATCCCATCGAACAGATATAGCTGGCATTTTTACAAACGAATAGCAAATATCATAAAACAACACACCAGAAAGGCCACCATTTTCAAAATGGTTGCTCACTTGCCAAGGTGTCATCAGAAGAAATAATATGCTTTTAAGTAGCCACCTCTAAAATTTTTGAAAAATCGCACACATACTTGTAAAATAACACACATAAAAATGGTGGCCATTTTTCAAAATGGCCGACTACTCCCCAAAGTTTTATTAGACAATGTGCCATGCTTACAGTATTCACATATCAAATATGAACAAAATCGCTCCACTACTTTTCGAGTTCTAGTAAAATACTTTAAAATGGTGGCCATTTTTCAAATTTTTTTTCAAAATGGCCACCTTCTACCAAAAGTGTCATAGGACAGTGTGCCATGCTTATAGTATTCACATACCAAATATGAACAAAATCGCTCCACTACTTTTCGAGTTATAGTAAAATACGTTAAAATGGGGGCCATTTTTCAAAATTTTTTTCAATATGGCCAACTTCTCACAAAAATGTCATAGGACAGTGCCATGCTTATAGTATTCACATACCAAATATGAACAAAATCGCTCCACTACTTTTCAAGTAATAGTAAAATACGTTAAAATGGCGGCCATTTTTCAAAATGGCCACCTTCTATCAAAAGTGTCTTTAGACAGTGTGCAATGCTTATAGTATTCACATACCAAATATGAACAAAATCACTCCACTATTTTTTGAGTTACAGCAAAAATCGTAAAATGACGAGTAAAGGCCGCCATTTTTCAAGATGGCTGCCATGCGCTTCTTTAATATCTACATTTGTAGCATTATTAAAGTCCTTTATAATTTTTTTACATTTAAAACATATTGCTATTACAGTTTTACATATTGCACCTAAATAACTGTAAAATCGGCACTAAAATGGCCGCAATTTTGAAATGAGCGGCCATTTTGAAAATCGGCTTTCGAGCAGAACTTCTACCCCCATAGGGTATATGTGTACAAAATATGAACAAAATCGGGCCAACGGTATTTGAGTTATTGCCCGGACGGACGGACGGACGGACGTACGGACGGACGTACGTACGGACGGACGGAGGCGTTCCCTATATCCCTCCGAACTTCGTTCGATGGGATAATAAAGGAGGTGGGGGCATAGGCTGCTATTAGGAATGGTATTTGCAAATGATCAGATTCTACAGATCCATTTATGCTTTTGATGTGAAAACTTTTTTGTTAGGAAGGAATTTAATTTTGAACAGTATGTCAAAGTGTCATAATAAAAGTTGAAATTCTTTTTGAGATATTACATTTTAAAGGAAGATAACACTTTTTGTTAAAAAGCCGCCATCTTTTGACGTCATGTGGGGACAGCAATTCTGTAATTTTGACGTCACGAAAGGGTTAATAGAGTTTTGGTCTAGTCGCCATCTTTAAATGACTTTAATCTTACCTCATGTTCAAAGAATTTGTCTTCCAAAGTTTTCTCTCCAGGATTGGTACCAGCCCCCTCAAACAATGACTTGTATTCCTGAAATAATAATGTACAATTCTAGGATTGGTACCAGCCCCCTCAAACAATGACTTGTATTCCTGAAATAATAATGTACAATTCTAGGATTGGTACCAGCCCCCTCAAACAATGACTTGTATTCCTGAAATATCAATGTACAATTCTAGGATTGGTACCAGCCCCCTCAAACAATGACTTGTATTCCTGAAATAATAATGTACAATTCTAGGATTGGTACCAGCCCCCTCAAATAATGACTTGTATTCCTGAAATAATAATGTACAATTCTAGGATTGGTACCAGCCCCCTCAAACAATGACTTGTATTCCTGAAATAATAATGTACAATTCTAGGATTGGTACCAGCCCCCTCAAACAATGACTTGTATTCCTGAAATAATAATGTACAATTCTAGGATTGGTACCAGCCCCCTCAAACAATGACTTGTATTCCTGAAATAATAATGTACAATTCTAGGATTGGTACCAGCCCCCTCAAACAATGACTTGTATTCCTGAAATAATAATGTACAATTCTAGGATTGGTACCAGCCCCCTCAAACAATGACTTGTATTCCTGAAATAATAATGTACAATTCTAGGATTGGTACCAGCCTCCTCAAACAATGACTTGTATTCCTGAAATAATAATGTACAATTCTAGGATTGGTACCAGCCCCCTCAAACAATGACTTGTATTCCTGAAATAATAATGTACAATTCTAGGATTGGTACCAGCCCCCTCAAACAATGACTTGTATTCCTGAAATAATAATGTACAATTCTAGGAACATCAGCATCTAATTATTCCTCCTTAATTCTAACACCCCATATGGTAGGATTTGTAAAGTTCATATTTTGATGTCTTAATAGCTACAATTAAGGCTGCCATGATTTACACATACGAGGGGTGATCAATAAGTAATGGACGCTTTTTTACACAGATGCTTTTTATAAACCAATCCCTTCTATTTTCTTACCAGTGATACATCATTCAATTATTTATCAACTCTGAAGATTTGAAAACAAAACATATAATATATTTTGAAATATCTTTATTTCCGTGAAGGAGGTATAGGTACCTCGGGACCGACATGACGTTAAACATTCTGAAGCTATTTAAGCTTGTTTAACATTTAACGCAGTTGAATGTAGGCTGAACAAAACAAACGATGGTGGTCATGAATTACCCCATTTTGTTATGCCATATTTGATTTTGAATATTTTATCATCACTATGTGGTATTCATGCCACATTCATTCTACAGGGCCCTCTACATAGGTTCCATCAAGTGCTACATGTACACAATTCCTCATCCTCTTAACTCATGATTGTGAGACAAGGCTGAATCCATTCTCTGACATGGTAGCAAGATGCAGTTGCACGGGTTGTTTTATTCCATCAATGTCAATAAACATGCGTCCTTTCTCTATAGAAATAAGTAATATAGAAATAAATAAGTCAAATGTGGGCAGATCTGGACAATATGGTGCATTGGTCAAGGGCTCAATTTTGAGGTCAAGGGATATTGTTTTCTGAACATTTTGAGATCTGTGGGCAGGTGCATTGTCCATATGGAGTAGGGTGTTTCCTTCTCTCAAAAACCCCTTCTTCCACCATGCTTTCTCAAATTGACCTGCAAACCCTGACCATACAACACTCTGACATCACAATACTTACTGTTTATGTGTTACCAGTCAGCAAAATATTTCAGACAACACAACACTTGTTGCATATAAAAAAGTTCAAATCTAACTGAAATTTGCCAAACTGGCTAAAAACTGAATGTAACGTAAATGTCGGTCCCAGGGTAGTTGTACCTCCTTCACGGAAATAAGGATATATCAACATGTCTTATATATTTTGTCTGGTATCCCTGGTAGGAAAATCAAAGGGATTGGTCTCTAAAAAGCATCTGTGTAAAAAAGCGTCCATTACTTATTGATCACCCCCGGTACTGACCCCACATTACACTTGCTTTAGAAAACAAAAACCCTACCTACAGAGTAGTCTGCTACACTGTAAACCTGATTTTGGTCATCTGTCAATGATTTACAAACCTAACCCCACATAACCCTTGATTTAGAAAATGTGAACCCCACTTACATAGTAGTCTGCTACACTGCGAACCTGATCCTGGTCATCTGCCCTGGCAAGTACAGCAAGACCATCAGGGTAGAGTTGGCCACATCGGGGATATAACTTTGCACGATCATCTTTGGTCAGCTCTGTGCCAAATGAGTTAATAGTTATGATGAATGCCCTCCTGTCTGCTTCAAACTGGAACATATTTAGACATTCATAAGAAATATAACTTTTTACTACTTGAACAATTAACATTATAGCTAGATACATGATGATGAATAATGTCATCAACACTAAAAATATCTGCTTTTAAATTTATGCAACACGCCAAAAAACAGTTTTATATTTTCATGGTCAGAAACATCCTCAGAAATTCCAAATTAATTTCGCCAAGCAGTTTATCTGGAAATGCTAACACAAGAAATGCCACCTTCCAAGCTAATGAAAATATCATGAAACCAAATCAAGAAGGGCTGTTCAAGATAAACACAAACATAATGATTTCCTACTACAGTAACAACGCAAGAAGTGTATCTGATTATACATGTATGATCTCAAAATGTAAGGAATGAGATCAATATTTACGACAGCGATTATAAGCCGTTAGATTCTTGTCCTGTATGCCATAATGCTATTCTGACAGGATTATTACTCACAAAAGCCTAATATTTGGTCAAAAGAGCAAGTCGCAAGAATTCTTGTGCAACGGTTATATCAAGTAATGGGGTCCAAAACTCAACAGTTGTGGCAAAATAAGGTTACTTTGTTCAGAGTGAAAGGCAAAACACAAATTTATTATTGACAAATGTTGATTTGTTTCAAATATCAATTTCGTTACTTGGGGAAAGAATGGGAATACAAACAATAATGACATTGATTTCATTTTTCCATAACTGTCAACATTTGGAGACCATCCCCATCACTAATCCAACTTACAGCGAGTGCCTCACACATCACCTCAGCTGTAGCTCCACCCAGCTCCTTGCAGAACTTATAGAAGTCTTCAAGGTAAGCCTTGTACAATGTGTTCCTGATGATTTCAATGTTCATCTCATCCAAGTCCTGCTCAGAAATACAATCGATGAAGTATGGGGCTGGAAAACATACAATCTATGAAGTATGGGGCTGGACAACATACAATCTATGAAGTATGGGGCTGGAAAACATACAATCGATGAAGTATGGGGCTGGAAAACATACAATCTATGAAGTATGGGGCTGGACAACATACAATCTATGAAGTATGGGGCTGGACAACATACAATCTATGAAGTATGGGGCTGGAAAACATACAATCTATGAAGTATGAGGCTGGAAAACATACAATCTATGAAGTATGGGGCTGGACAACATACAATCTATGAAGTATGGGGCTGGACAACATACAATCTATGAAGTATGGGGCTGGAAAACATACAATCGATGAAGTATGGGGCTGGAAAACATACAATCTATGAAGTATGGGGTTGGACAACATACAATCTATGAAGTATGGGGCTGGACAACATACAATCTATGAAGTATGGGGCTGGAAAACATACAATCTATGAAGTATGGGGCTGGAAAACATACAATCTATGAAGTATGGGGCTGGACAACATACAATCTATGAAGTATGGGGCTGGACAACATACAATCTATGAAGTATGGGGCTGGAAAACATACAATCTATGAAGTATGGGGCTGGACAACATACAATCTATGAAGTATGGGGCTGGACAACATACAATCTATGAAGTCTGGGGCTGGAAAACATACAATCTATGAAGTATGGGGCTTGAAAACATACAGTCTATGAAGTATGGGGCTTGAAAACATACAGTCTATGAAGTATGGGGCTTGAAAACATACAGTCTATGAAGTATGGAGCTGGAAAACATACAATCTATGAAGTATGGGGCTGGAAAACATACAATCTATGAAGTATGGGGCTTGAAAACATACAGTCTATGAAGTATGGGGCTTGAAAACATACAGTCTATGAAGTATGGAGCTGGAAAACATACAGTCTATGAAGTATGGAGCTGGAAAACATACAGTCTATGAAGTATGGGGCTTGAAAACATACAGTCTATGAAGTATGGGGCTTGAAAACATACAGTCTATGAAGTATGGGGCTTGAAAACATACAGTCTATGAAGTATGGAGCTGGAAAACATACAGTCTATGAAGTATGGGGCTGGAAAACATACAATCTATGAAGTATGGGGCTGGAAAACATACAATCTATGAAGTATGGGGCTGGAAAACATACAATCTATGAAGTATGGGGCTGGACAACATACAATCTATGAAGTATGGGGCTGGAAAACATACAATCTATGAAGTGTGGGGCTGGAAAACATACAATCTATGAAGTGTGGGGCTAGAAAACATACAATCTATGAAGTATGGGGTTGGAAAACAGAAGTATGGAGCTGGAAAACATACAATCTATGAAGTGTGGGGCTGGAAAACATACAATCTATGAAGTATGGGGCTGGAAAACAGAAGTATGGAGCTGGAAAACATACAATCTATGAAGTGTGGGGCTGGAAAACATACAATCTATGAAGTATGGGGCTGGAAAACAGAAGTATGGAGCTGGAAAACAGAAGTATGGAGCTGGAAAACATACAATCTATGAAGTGTGGGGCTGGAAAACATACAATCTATGAAGTATGGGGCTGGAAAACAGAAGTATGGAGCTGGAAAACATACAGTCTATGAAGTATGAGAATATAACAGAAGTGAAGAGGGCTTGGACACATTAATGAGCGCTTACCTAATGGTGTGTCCACTAACACTGCATTGTAGAGTTCAGCTGGGGTGGATGCAATGTGGATGGCCTCCATTTGTTCAAAGCTGCCAAGAGGGTGGCACTTGGGGATCAGCTCTGAGATGGAACGTTGGTGAAGAGTCCCTGTGATTAGTAAAATGATGTTGTCTATCATGTAGCTGTACCTGGAAAGAGAGGCGGAAACTTAAGAATAGGTAACTTAGGATTTTAAATGAAAATTACCGTGGGCACTGGGCTCAAGCCACTTGCCACTATTTTGGACTGACTGAGAGAGAGATGGACAAATCAATGTTATAAGTAAAATGGCTGAAAATAAAAAACAGATATAATATTTTGCCAATTATTTGTAACAAAATTATTTCTTACAACTACTCTTTACAGTGACATAGGTGCTTTCATAATATCCTGTTGAATCTTGTATTCACTACTTACGTGACATAATCAAGGAATGTTGACAGTGGCTCAAGGGCCTGGTTTCTAATATGCTGGAACTCTACTACCATTTTCTCTTTTAAATTATCATCTATGGTAGAGACAGTCAGGGGGCTTGGTTCATTTGCGAGGAAGTTGCCATAGTCTGTGCTCTGTAGGTGAAGCTTTAAGTCTAGAAAGAAAAACATCGGGAATGTTAGGTCAGCTGGAACCCTTTCACTGATATTTTACATGGGAAAAAGTTGTTGAACATCATGGATATAACATGCAAATGTTTGTGAAAACATAAATTAAAATGGGTGTAATGATGAAAAGAGGCTATTTACAATGACATACAAGAGGAAAAAATGGAGATTTGCTTATGTGATTGACATATTCTTCACCCTTAGCTATTTTGTAGTTTAACAATCAACACAAATATATGTAACATATTTAACAAAATATCGGGCAAATTTATAACACATGTATTTTTTGTTGGATAAAATTTTTCATATGATACTACGATTTTTATAATACATGTTTTGACCTTGAGCAAAACTCCCAAACAAATGTTAGCCATTCAATTTCTTGAAGTTCGACAAATGGTTGACAATTTTAAGACCTAGATATAAATGCTGAATAATTGCAGATATGAAGCATTGTTTCCAGTAATCTCTTATTACATTGGTAAAAGTGTTTTGTCAAAGAAAAGAAGAGAATAGGAAAGGAAACTGCCGACATAGATAGTCCTGATTTTCATCTTCAATTGATCTTTTTCTAATAAATGGAAAATAGACAGCATCATGGGTATTGGTAAGGCTGGGGTAGGGCTAGAATACACACTTAATTTCTCGATTTAAGAAGTAATTCTATTTGGATCAACTTAAAAAATTATTGGAATATAACTATATGATCTTAATTAAATGTGGATTGTGATTTCACATTAAAGTTGTGATCCTTATAAGAGTAAATGAACTTTTAAAGGTTTTTCAGCATTGTGTCAATGGAAAACTAGAAAATCATTAGAATTTGAATAAAGATAAATAACGGTGCGAATCAAAGTTGCTTTGATAGAAAATAACACACAGAATTCAAATATGCCATCAAATAGAAGAAAATGTTAGTCTTTAGTGTTTAAAAATGCAGATCTCCTAAAATCGTGATCGCTTCTTTTAATGGTGAAAAAAACGTCAATCAATCACATTTGATTAATGGGGGTAGACTTACTCACTTGGAGAGCCATGTTAAATTTTGAAACTTAAGGCTCTCCAATGGAGAAATGGACAGCTGAACAATAGTGACCTTTGAAACACGAATTAAGTTGATCCACGGCTTACTTTTGTTCTCTAACTATGTCATACATCATTATCATCCTTCCGTGCAAGTATTGGAGCGCGGAAGTACTTCATTTTCCATCAAGACTTGTTATTGTTAGTCGAGTGAATGTTTTTTCTGCCAAATTCCAATATGGCGTTTTCTGCTCGGACATTTTCATAAATCTCCGGAGTAGAGCTCGGAACGGCATTGGAAAATGGTGCCGGTATTACCGCATCTTGAAACCGAACCATCACCGATTAATCGCTGACGTAGAAAAATAATCAAAAAATTCTGAAAAAATTGAACTTTTTAATTCTTACAAACATTTTGCTATTTACCTCTTACATCCATCATGTTTGGGGAACTGAGTGTTATATAACAGCTTCAAAAGTGTTTTCTTGTGTATATATAAATCGTATTCATGCTGATTACAGGGTGTCAAATAAGTCTGTTCTCCCCCCTTGACTTTTTAATCTTTAAATTTATCATACTTTCCCATATATCATTTTGAAGCTCATGGAAAATGCTGATCACCCTCAAAAAATCAATCATAAACTCCTCCTAATAATATTGCTACACTGTTTCTTGTAAGGTTGTCGTTGACCTTTGATTACGTCAAAACAAGTAAAATTACCAGGTATAGTGAATGAAAAGTGAAAAGTTGATACTGCTGTGACAATGCCAACATTGGGTGATTTCGATGTTTCTCAATATCGTTACAGAGTAAAATGTGTTACATTCAGGGGAGCCTTTGAAGCAGGGGTATCTTTCATCACAAAATAGTTGATAACACCTAAAATTAATCGTTCTGAATGATTTATACAGGATCATATCCTCGTAGAATTGAGGCCATCCGGGCTGCTGGGGGAGACATACAGACTATAAAAAGTGAAATATGGACATCACGAAAAATACTCTAAAAAATTTGGAATTTAACCAATCACTCTGAGATTTGGTTTGTGATCAGCAAATTAAATTCCCTTAAAGATGATATATACCAATCCTATGTTATCTCTGAATTAAAAAAGTTAAGGGGGGAGAACAGACTTATTTGACGCCCTGTACAATCAATAAACAACATAAATGTCAAAGTTTATTTTTACGTTCACATTCACAATAGATGGCGCGCTTATACTTTTGGCCTCGTTTTGAGTGGCGGCAAAATAACAAGTTCAGGTAAGTGTTTTTCCAACTTTTAGGACTCTTACACTAAAATTACATGTAAATAATTAAATATCATACCGTATAAACACACACAATTAAAGAATGAATACACTGAAAAGACATATACTAAAATAAATGCGACTTTTAGACGTTATTTGTGGTACCGATTGATGAAGTATGAATCGCAATTTCCCCGGGGATTTACCGTTCGATGTCGGTAATAAATTTCAATACCGGCATTCACCAATAACCTTACCTTTGCGGCATTACGGACAATTCTTTCGAGCTCTACTCCATTAGACTTCAAGATGTCCCTAGTCCTACTAGGGACATCTCGCATACCATTGAATAGATTGTCGCGGAATTCTGTACTCATGAATGTTAAAATTATGATGTTAGTTGGAGACCTACCCTTTATTTGACCAGCCCACTTCTTTCCTGTCTCATTTGTACAGTTGAAATTGTAATTCTTGAGTTCTTAATTATCGTAAATCCTTCGTTCTATAAGTATAATGTCGAAGCAATTTCGACTTAGAAATTCTGGCTCCTCTGGTCGTTATGCAAATCTATATTAACACCAAGAAACGAAATTATTATAATAAGATTTCTCTAACGCTACTAAACGTGTAGCGAGATATCATATTCTTTTCAAATATTCATATATATTCATATAATTTATATATATTCATATAATTGTCTGTTTATGTTATTAAACTAGTATTGAAATAATGATTTTGATTAGTTAAACACGCGATTAGTTTGACACGCGCACCCAGCGCATGCGCATAAAGAGGATTTTAATTTTCAAAATTAGTTCCAAATTTTTGACAAAAATCTCCAAATTACTCATGAAATACCAAATTACTTCACTAAAAACGTAGCAGAGTGATTTCGGAGCATTCAAAGATAGGGTAGGTGCATAGTTTATTGCATTTTGCTGCTGCGTCATTATAAATATAGGTATGCGTAATGGCCATGATATCATCATGGCCATTGGGAAAGGCTATACTCCATAGGTTGTCCGAACCTAACTCATTCTCAAAATTCATTTCGTTTGATGCGTATCTCGCTCCTAGCAAACCTCCATATTGGAAATGGGTCGAAAAAACATTCACTCGATGAACAATTTACAAGTCTTGATCTAAAAAGAAGTATTTCAGCGCTCCAATACTTGCACGGCTTGATGATACTGATGTAAAACACAGTTAGAGACCAAAAGTAAGCCAAGGATCTCATTATTCAAGTTTTAAAGGTCACTATTATTCAGCTGTCCAAGTGTGCCGTGGGAAAGCTATTATATCAAAATCCACATAGCTTTCGCAGGAAGTAAGGGTAGGCCTAATAACCCAGATGCGAGTAGAAATAATCTTGATTTATGTCATTAAAAATTCAAAATTCAGTCAAAGTAATATCATATTTGAAATCTACATGTAAAATTACATCTAGAGATGTGGTTTTAAAAATTGTTTATCAACTTTGAAAAAATAATTTTCTTTGAAAATGTGACTTCTAGCTCGGGGAGATTCCCCATAGACCCCATGCTATAAAATCACAAAAAATTAAATATATTTTCTTTTAGTGGACAGATAATATTTTGCTTTCTTGGACATATTTTCATGAGTATAAGTTACTCGAGTCTCTAGCTTACAGCTAGACGAAACTTCATTGATTTCGTATGTACTGTGCTACACGCACCTAGAACTCATTTTTAATCAATTTTATAAATATTTTTAAGAATATTAATCATATTTAGGATGAAGCGTTGCTTGTCTGGATTTAGATATTTCAAAATTTCATTTCGGAGTTTCAACACATGGTGAAATTTTCTCGCTGTAGCTAAAAATGGCTTCCGGTTCTGGACGTGAATAACATTTGAAATTATTCTCGCTTAAAGAAATCAAATATAACAATAGATTCAGACGGGGATGTGAGCTGGTGTTCTTCAAATCTATACATAAAGGTATATTTCATATTATTATGCCATATTTACTGTGCGTGTGACACAATGATTCACAATATTTATAATACTAAGGCAGCTCAATCTTCCTCCTCAAAGCCGGAATATAGAGAAGGCTTTGGACCGAAGTAAAGTATAAGTATCAGACACATAAGGGTTGTATGAAAATTGAGCCACTTAGAGTCCATTTCACTGCTTCAGTTCGTCAGTAGAACGGCAAAAATAAGAAATTGGGAGACCATTGTGCAATAATATATGGAAAAGTATATTCATAATGTACATGAATGACATTTGTATATCTTGGATTGCTCCTAGTTTGGCTTATAAAGTGTGTGGCCTCTTATATTTGGATGTTTCTCTGCCATGTTATTTCCAATAAGATTAACATGGCTGAAATTCTTCAAATTACAAGACGGCACAGGCTTATTGCACAAAAAACTAAAAAATCTGAAATATACAAATGTCATTCATGTACATTATGAATATACTTTTCCATATATTATTGCACAATAGTCTCCCAATTTCTTATTTTTGCCGTTCTACTGACGAACTGAAGCAGTGAAATGGACTCTAAATTGATAATATTCAAGTTTAAGGGAACTTTCTTATATACCTGCCATGTTAATTGACCCGAATCAGCCACCTGGTGGTGAAACTGGTAACTACCTACTCGCATTTGGGTAATTGTCAATCAACAACAACGACAACAACAACAATCATCTCTGACATTCATACGCAACTAGAATAAAAAATTGTCAGATATTCTAAATCAGCAAACATAACCTTCTGTAATTTCCGGAGAATTTTGATCTGATATTCTTGAATCGAAGTGATGGCCTAATGGTATCTCCTGATTCTGAATCAATTGAATTGAAAAAAAATTAAAAAAATGAAAAAACTTGCCATCTAAAGTTTCACATTGTACTAAGTTCAGGTAGTCTGCTTGCTTCAAAATGCCTCCTTTGAATCCTCTGACAAGTCCTTCTAGATACCCAGCATCTATATTAAACATAAGCCCATCCATTGTGTCGTAATTATAGATTTATTGACAAAATATTATATATATTTCTACTTTTCCTCCTCTTTCAATATGGCAGCGATCACATGACTTTAATAAGTGGAGTTGTAACATCAAATGTAATTGGTTCAGATCTAGACAGAAGTAATATCTACACCAATCATGAATCCTAACAGAAACACACCTGCCCATATTTGGAAAATTATGCAAATTAGCTTACTATATAAACTAAAGGTGACCTAGTTTCATTCTCTTTCAGATTTGACACGTGAATCTAATCGACGTACAGCACCATGACTGAAAAAGTTCCCTACAAAGTTGGTAAGAAATAACCTTTATTTGATATTGTCAGTATTTTTAAACTCGATTTATTTATTGCGGACATGCTAATTTATATTTCACTAATGCCAATCGAGTCAATTATTTCTGCAAATAATCCAAATTTTAAAATAAAAAACACTGTTTCAAAATTCATTTTCACTTTCAATGTCTGAAATCAAGCTTTGTTTGTCAAAGACCCAGGAGTTCAAATCCAGTCAGTAAGGCATCACCAGGTGTGGAATAAGGATGACCTCGCATTTTATTGTGTATTTAAAATGATAATCGGAGATTTGGCTGGATATTCGATTGTGGACAGTGAAAACACAATTGCGATTAGTAAGCTTACAACCAAATACAATTCTACTGTATCTATCTACAATGCAGCTAAAAGTTGAATTGACCACTCAGATCATAGACATTTGTTATGCGGCGCACTTATAATAGTTCACTTTCAACAACCTGAATGCCAATCATTGACATTTACTATTTGCACCTCAGCTGAGAGCCTCGCTGGAAGCGATGTAATCCATGTAGGCCAGCACCTCGGCATGTCGGCAGAACCATTTTTGGCAATAACCTACATTGACAATACTGCCTCTCTTCAGTTAGCTGATAATCGTTTGTTTATTCAGATCCATGCTAGAATTGTCCATAATTAGAGAGATAGGATTGATCTAGTCGAAGTATGGCTATATTATTCTCAAATTGAAGGAAGTGTAGGGGCGATCTCTTATGGTTTTGTTTTCTGATATTTTTCTTCAAATGTTATTATTTATTGTGACAAATACAGATTCATATACAAGTATATTATAGTGTTTGTTGGGATTTGGTACTCAGTTGAGTTGCCGTTTTTCCAGTTTAGTATGTTAAACACATTGGTCAGTTAAATAGTTATCATAACTGCATCTCGCCAGTCAAGGTGTGAAGACCTATTCAAACGTATATCCGTTTGATTTACCTACCAATTTGACGACTTGTTATCAGCCACTGATACATTGTCTCGTAACACACACACCAACTTTAGATAGAAGTGACTTGGACCTTTAACTCTTGATAATGAATTTGATAAAGGCATACTTGTCTCGAGACATTAGTGAAGTTTCAGAACTAGAATTTACTGGTTTATATTTGGAAGTAATGAACTTTAAATCATAAATTTATTATCAATGAATGCAATGAATTTGAATCGAGCACTGACCTAGATAATCAATTGAATTAGCACAAGAGGTCTTGTAGTCAATTAATTCACATCTATGTTTATTACCACATATTTGTTACAGTTAAAATTAACATAATTTTTAATCTATTAACTCATATAACATCATTGGGTGGTTGTGTTTCAGCTGACATCAGCATAGTATATTATTTCAACTGACATCAACATTGTTTAATTTCAGCTGACATCGGCATACACTGGCATAATATTATCTCAACTGACATCAACATAGTTTAATTTCAGCTGACATCGGCATACACTGGCATAATATTATCTCAACTGACATCAACATTGTTTAATTTCAGCTGACATCGGCATACACTGGCATAATATTATCTAAACTGACATCAACATTGTTTAATTTTAGCTGACATCAGCTTGGCAGAATGGGGTCGCAAGGAAATCGCTCTTTCAGAGAATGAGATGCCTGGACTGATGCATATGAGAAGAACATATGGTCCTTCTAAGCCATTGAAGGGTGCACGTATTGCTGGGTGTCTACATATGACTGTGCAGACTGCAGTCCTCATTGAAACACTCACAGAACTTGGTGCTCAAGTAAGTATACAAATAAAACTCTGCATGAAGGATTTTCTGAATAGTTTTCATGCTCTCATCTCTGTTTGTTTGTATAATCCTGTATAAAGCAGTTTGGCTTGAATTAGCTTGAAAATGAAAATTCCAGGAATTGTAAAAAACTATTTTAAAGTTGTGTATTATTTTTGTAGGTGACATGGTCGAGTTGCAACATTTTCTCCACCCAGGATCACGCTGCTGCAGCTATTGCCAAGACTGGTGTTCCCGTCTATGCATGGAAGGGAGAGACTGATGAGGAATATGTCTGGTGTATTGATCAGGTAGTTATTTTTTGTTGATAAAGATGGCATCAGTGTGAAATCGTAGGATTTCTTTCTTGTGAAACCATGGTCTTCTCTGATACATGATAACATGTTCTTTGTTTCTCTCAATTTCAGACCATAATCTTCCCTGATGGCGAACCACTGAACCTTATCTTGGATGATGGGGGTGATCTCACAAACCTCGTTCATGAAAAATACCCACAATACCTTCCAGGTAAGTCAGTAAAGTCTATGACGATAATTGTACATCGTTAAATAAGTTGAAGAGTGATAATTATATTTAAATATAATGTTTAATCTTTCTTTTTCAGATTGATGCATTTTTGAAACCAAACAAAATTCCGTAATTTTTTTTATATAGTATTGTGCTTTCAAAAGAAAAAATTACTTACCGTAATTTAGATGTTCGCTAGAGTTACTACTGATTTAAAATTTCTTGCAAATAGAAGGAGTTAGAATTTGCCTGTTCAAATTATGATGTAATTTACAATTTTAAAAGAAATAGTTGATGTTAGTGCTTTTATATTGTAGTATATTTTCTGTGTTTGCAGGCATCAAAGGTCTATCAGAAGAAACTACCACTGGTGTGCACAACTTGTACAAAATGATGACCGCTGGCAAACTCAAGGTCCCAGCCATCAATGTCAACGACTCCGTCACAAAGGTGAATAAAAAATTGGGATACCAAATGCAAAAAAACAAAATGCTTTCACAAAAACTAGCTTTTCCACTACTTTTTGTAAGAAAGTTGCTACTTCTAAATAAATGGCAGTGAAGATTATCAGCCTTTTTCAATTCATTGTATCTAATAATAGAACATACAAGCGCCGAAAATTCAATTTTATTTATTAATACAGCTATATAGAAATGCCATGCTTCCTTCATCATATTCTTGCCTACTTAACAGAGCAAGTTTGACAACTTGTATGGATGCAGAGAGTCTCTTGTCGATGGAATCAAGCGTGCCACAGACATTATGTTGGCAGGAAAGGTTGCTGTTGTGGCAGGCTATGGCGATGTAGGCAAAGGTTGCGCCACTGCCCTCAGAGCTTTTGGTGCACGTGTCATAATCACAGAAATCGATCCAATCATAGCTCTCCAGGCTGCTATGGAAGGTAGGACTTCACTTCTTAAAAGAGAGCTTTGTCTTTACTCTCAATTTACAATAAATCTCTGATCTCACTGAATCAATCGGAGCTCGTCGTCGAAAAACGGACAACTTTTTATAAATGGTCATTTCCCCAGACATCATCGCATAGTTATGAGCACGTATTAAGCATGTGTTACTTCCAGTTTGCTGATTGGATGAGAAAAGGTCAACGTGGTATATTTACTATGATTTATTACCCGGGATGTCACAGGCATCGATCTTGGGGACGGGGTTGCTAAACTGTAATATAGTCTATGCTAGGGCACGCAGGGTAGAATTCTACCAAGCACCCCTTTATGTTATTCCCATTGTATTTTCAGGGTACGAGGTGACCACATTTGACGAGGCTGTCAAAGAAGGTCGCATCTTTGTCACCACAACTGGGTGCAAATCAATCATTGAACCAAAACACTTTGAACAAATGCACGAAAATGCAATTGTCTGCAACATTGGTCATTTCGATTGTGAAATTGATGTAAAATGGCTGAATGATAACTGCAAAAAAGATAACATTAAGCCTCAGGTAAGTTCACTTAATTACATGAAGTTGAATTTTGTTTGATGTGCATGACATTTCACTCAAAATAAAATAATAATCGCTGTATTAGATTGAGAATTGGATGTCTTTTGAGAGGAGCAGATTGACATTTATTTCCATTGGTTCCTTTGTTTACTAATTCACTTCATTTTTATTGTACTAGATACATGTTTTTCAGTGTTAAGCTTTAATAAATTTAGAAACAGTACCCAACACAATCAATGAACAAAAAAGATGTTCTCAATTAAATGTTATGTTCTCATTAAAAATATTTAGATGGCATTCTGGACCTCTTTCAGAAAGTATATATTTAATGTATATGTTTCCATGGCTGAATTTCAGGTAGATAGATTCACATTGTCAAATGGTCGCAGCATTATCTTACTCGCAGAGGGACGTCTTGTCAACTTGGGGTGTGCCATGGGTCACCCCAGCTTTGTCATGAGCAACTCATTCACCAACCAGGTTCTTGCCCAGCTTGAGCTGTGGACCAAAGACACATACAAAGTTGGAGTCCACTTCCTTCCAAAGAAGGCAAGTATTTCTTTGCTTTTTAACCATGTACTTTTTGGCAGTTCTTGTAGTTTCATTTACATACATGTAGCTGTAACATTTTTTTTAATGAGCCTAACTATCTGTATTTCAAGAGCAAATTGTCTGTCTTGAAAATTACCCAGCATGCTCAAAATCTTATCAGATCTTGCCACTAGTCTGCTTTTGCAAATGTAATAATTTCATCTCATTTGGCATCGGATAAAAATCAAATCAAAAAAGATCTGGAAGGTGTGCAACCTTTTATATGTACTCCTACCAGTTAACTGTTTTTGCAGCGAGCACATAAACTTTACTTTTTCACACATTATCATAATCTGTTAACGTGATATTTTTTCTTCCAGTTGGATGAAGAAGTAGCAGCTGCTCATTTAGACCATCTTGGTGTTAAACTAACCAAACTTAGTGACACCCAATCAGAGTATTTAGGCATTCCAAAAGAAGGACCCTTCAAGCCAGAACACTACAGATATTAGGACAATTCACACTGGGACTTTCACACTGGGACTTTCACATTGGGACTTAAATATAAAAAATATTTTTAAAATCATGTCTAGAAATATAGGAAAGCCTATAAACAATCTTAGTGTCGCTATAAGAGGTGGTTTTGTATTATGCAGATGTACAAAGTACATTAATCTGTTGTTATGCAATTTACGGATGAATGCAATTTTGAGTAATGTTAAAGCTGTAAAGAGGCTCCCCCTATTATCACCATGCCAATCAACCATGAGATTAATCCAATATCCATGTGTTTTACAGGGTTACTGTATTTTATGATGAATTACTTATTTTTACTTGTTACACAAGTAATAGATTTTGGGGTAATGTTGAATTGTATATAAGGAATAAAAAAATTAAAACATACCAAATCTTAAGACTTGTGAGGAAAGTAATGTATCAGCTATTTGCAATTATTTCATAAAATGAACTGGTACTGTACTAAGAAGTATTCATTTCTATGAAGTATTTTTGCACCAAATCATAGTTTCAAAAATGTCCATAATTCACTTACGTTGTGGACATGTGTGACCGTGAATGTGACGGAGAAGCCATAAAAATATTGACTGGTGCAATCGTATCATAGTTTAATATCAACTGGTATCCATAGATTTCCATTCATATTGTCTACCGATTGAATGATATTCATGATTAGAGTGACACCTGACCTGATGACAGACCTTACCATAGCATATTGTTTTGACATAAGTTAGACTATCCATATGCCAATTTAATATCAGTACTCAGTCATGTCGATAAACTTGCTTATTCCAGTTCATCGTTTGAATCCTTATCCATTGTTCACTTTTGATAAGACCTTCACCGAGGAGCAAGTGTTGGACCTTTTCTGAACATACATTAACAGACTTCTGACGTAACTCGCAACGTAATTTCAGATCCCCCATTGTAATTAGATTCGATCGATTTAATATTAAGTCTTGAAGTGTTTTAGTTATAAATTACTCGACGAAGAAAGTGGACTTGGTATAATTGACGTTAACCCCCTACACTAATCGTGAATAAGATGACTTTAGACTATGCATGTCCATTCCCAATGACTGACTTCAGAACATAATTTTGCACATGGATTAAAGATATGCTCTGAGACAGAAAGTAGGAATTGCAGCATTCTTTTAAGTAATTAAGGTGTCAGAGACGTTCACTTACACCAGGTTTCTACAAAATAACACTTTGGAAAAACATTGAATCATCTGCTAAGGCAGATAAGTAATCTTCAAAATGCATGCCAATGTTTCCCTCGCGATCTTCAGATCATTAATATACAGGGTGGTAAAAAAAATGGCAACCCTAGTTTTTCCTAATATCTTTGTCATTCTAAGAAATAACTCCCTGATATTTTACACATTTGTACATCATTCAATTTCCTACCAACCTACCATATTTCATGACCATCGGACTGATAGTCACAATATAACTGCATTTTAAGCAGCATGCCCCAGACACCAGATGGCCACTTTCGGGCTGTCTGAGCTGGTCTGCTATTCAAATGAACTCCATTTCCAATTTGATGCACTGATAAACTCTAATAATTATGTATTCTTGGGGAGCCAAGCACTTGATGAAGTAGTGGAGAGGCACCTTCACACAGACAGATGCACAGTTTAGTGTGTTCTCAGAAGATAAAGTCCTTTATCTTTGATGATGCTAATGGATATGCAATAACTGTCTACATCAAACTCTATTTTGTGATTCCCATGTAGTTCTTGGTGCACCCAGGGGGGGGGGGTGATAGGCAGCAACAGTGGTTCCAACAAGACAGAACCATACCCCATACACCCAATGATGCACAATAATGGCTTTGGGACCACTTCAATGACCACATTATCAGCAGTACAACAGACAATGAATGGGCACCCCATAGCCCAGATATGGCCCCATTTAAGCTTTACCAGTGGGGATACCCCAAAGAAAGAGTGTAGGGTAATAACACCAGAGACATTTGACCTCAAAATAAAGATCACATGTGTCATTCGACCATACTTGCTGAGGAATGCAGTTATGTCATTGACAGGTTTGGAAAACGTGTGCACGTTTGCCTACAGCACAATATTGGAAAACTGGGGCACCTTGTTTAGGCCAATGTTCATGAAATATACAGTCTAGTATGAAATTGAATGATGTACATGTGTGCCAAATATCAGGGCAAAATTTCTAAAAATGACAAAGATATGAGGAAAAATTAGGGTTAACATTTTTTGTACCACCCTGTAGATGTAAAAATACACAAATTCTTAAGAATTTGCCAGAAAATATTGCAAGATAACCTAATGATTTAAGGATTATTGTGAAATAAATTAATAACTGTTTGGTCAAGTTGAAATCAGTTTTAAACAAAATACTGCAATCGGCTTGGCACTGGCTGATGAATCAGAGCAAATGTGACCTAGGCATTATCAACATAACATTGAATGCTGAACTTAGATTTATTCCTTCCTGTTCTCAGTGCCAAATACATGTAGATTCATATTAAATTCTGGCAAGGATCTATCCAGAGATGATTTTGGCAAGGCAGCTTATTCATTGAAACATAAACATGAACATGGAAGTTGACAGGGACCATACATTCCCATTTCAGTATGGGCCCTTCTTGAAACCATAAGGTTCATTTTAATGAAGTCTCTTTTTGAAAACAAGGTCAAAAATGAGAATAAGTCCCCAAATATTTCAGCTTGTGGCCAATGTCAATCCAATTCTTATTGCAAACCTTTGTACAAATTCTTTTTATCAAAAAGGAACAGTTGTATCATTTTGTAATTTCACTCCCATCTTGTCCATTGATTTAGCTACTTGTCTTACTGTTTCTTTCACTTGTTTATTTGACATAGGCTTTACATGCATCAGGCCTGGAGCTCCAGAACGCTTAGCATCAAGCTGAAGCAGTTTCTCAACATTTGAATTCAGTTTCAAACATTCTTCTTGTCTTTCATGCATTCTTTTGAGTTTCTCTTCCTCCTGGGCTTTGCGTCTGGCATCAGCTTCTACTTGCTTTTCATCAAGTTGCTGTTTTGTTAGTGGAGTTCGGGCTTTGTTTGTCAGGAAACGTTTTGGGGGACCAGAATGAGGTCTTTTTGGTCGCTCATCCAAAACGATTTCAAATGAAGTACTGCTCATCTCTGCCATGTTCTGGAATATAAATTATCATAGATTATTCATGAATTCCAATTCTATATACATTGTTATGCGGTATATGGCATACATTCATGGTTGCGCGGTATTTGTGATACGGGTGAATATGCCATACTCACCTGCAGTATATGGCAGTTAATATATATGTTAAGTTAATATATTCGATTGACAGTACTGATTCAGTAATCATTATTATAATAATTTATAACGTTTTACTTGTTTGTTCAATCTATGCAATTGACAATTGCGTACTTCCATATCACGTTCTCATTGGTTAGTGTGTATGCCATATACCACAGGTGAATCTGTCATACACCGCAAGTGAATATGCCATATTCGTTGCGGAATATGCCATATTTTTGTATCGTGTTTACCGCGTAACATACATTGTTTAATTAATATAAATTGCAAGTAATTGCATCAATGAGATGTAGGTCCATTTAATGCCTGTAACATTCAATGCAGTACAAGTTCAACTATATTGTGATCTCAGTCTCAGACTGAGGTGACCCTGGTTATAATGAACTAAGAATTTAGAAGATGATACTGTTCAAAGTGATGTTTGAATGACATCATTCAATAGATCTAATCAATTTTGAATTCAGTGTTTTTTTTACAAAAGTAGCAAAATTGCCAATTTGAACTATTCTACCTAGATCTACAGAACGTGCACCTATTTGGATTCTAGGAGATTATGACAAGATAAAAAAATCTTTAGCCTGAAGTCATGTTAACTGTGCAACTACCTTTAGTCCTGGTTGGCATAAAGATTAAATGAAAGGCTTACTTTAAGAATTTTAAACATCCGCCATATTGTGTATTTACATCATGTGACCAACAACCATATCGTGCTGCCATCTATAAATAACAGGTGCGCGTTATCCAGATTACCAGGCCAAGTGTACACTGATGCATTCTGGGAGTCTTTGGCCAGATGTTCTAAGATGGCCTCAAAAATAAAATTCAAAATTTCTGTCTCTGTTTTCTACAATATTACAACGAAGATGTGAGAAAAGAACTACCAAAACAATGTGGAATGGATAGACTTTGCCATTGAGCAAACGTATGTGGTGAACTGTAGTGGAATTTACCTCAAAAACAGTAGATTTGAAGGGTGAGATTTTGAACATTTTATTTGTTTCCCTCCAAAAATCTGAGAAATAAGACAGAATCATGAACAGGATGGAAGTTTGCTTTGTTTGTGGTTCTTATGGAGCCGAATGGGACATTTACACAAAGCCAAGAAATAAAGGATCCTACTTTGCTTTCCTTGAGCACCATGACCCACCCCAGGGATGCTCCAAACCAAATAAGGATGGTATTGTTAAAAGCTGTAATCTTTGTTATGCATTTCTGAACCAGCAATGGGATTCATTTGAAAAAACAAATACTCCTATGGTTAAGAGATTATACTGGCTAAAACGTGCAGATGATGGACAGTTCACAGGGGCCGAGATGCGATTACAGGGTGAATATGCCGCACAAGTGTTAGGATTACAGTATCACCCGAATGTGTATGATGGTAGAATGCAGCCAGGTTTAGGCCAACCTATGATTCCTGTATCCCCATCAGGGTCAATGCAAATGATAAGTCCACAGCCTGCAGCCCAGCAGCCAAGGCCTTCAGGGTACCCAGGTGGGAGAGAATTAACTGGGGCTCTGGATCTAACTGTTGGACGACCAGCCCCTAAAGAGAAAAAAGCGACCCTCCCTCAGGAACAGCACAAATCCAGATCACAGCGAAGTGAACCAGAATCCAAGAAGATAGCTTGCTATGTTTGTGGGGTACACAACCAAGATTCAAGCATGGTTTATGTCAGCTCTGCGAAACAATCTGAAGGAGATCCCTTCTACCCATTCCTAGCACATATACAACCCCCTAAAGGTGCTGAACCACTCACACGTCAAGCCTATGCTAAAGTTTGCAGTGGTTGTCGCAAATCCTTACTGATACAATGGAAGACACATGAAGCTAGGGGCACTTCAATATTGCAGCGATTATACCGAATCAATGAGAACTCCTATGGAGAATCAGCTCCCTCGTCAAAGCCTGAGAAATCCGAGCCAGACACAAGACCAGAAGTGTGTTACTTGTGTGCAAATGAATTCCAAAGAGACACTATGAAAATCCTATATACCAAACCTCCAACTGGGGATAGCCGACATTCAATGTTCTTTCCATTTGTCGCAGCTTTACAACGTCCTAGAGGAGCAACTAATGTTGATTTAGAAGGTCGTGTGAGATCATGTCGCACATGCTATAGTGGATTACAACGACAATGGGAAATGTATGAAGCTCAGAAGGTTTCCCATACCCATAGACAGTATCAACTTCGTCCAATAACAAATGACCAAAATGAACAACCAATGAAATCCTTGCTTAACATACCAAAACCAGGTGCTATTTTGAAAAGTGGTCCAGCCGCAGGAAGTCCCAGCTTAAATCAACCACTAAACATTAAAATAAGGTCATCAAGTCCAGCCACTGTCTTGAGCAGTCCTGCCCAGGGGCTTCTAGCTATTGCGCCCCCAGTTCCTCTGCCATCTACGGTCCCAACACACCTACCTCGAGATCTGCCCCCTAGACCACTTGATCTGCCGCCCAGGTCTTTGGACCTACCCCAAAGGTCAATAGATCTTGCCCCAAGGTCGCTTCATCAAACCCTAAATGTCCCAATCAATATAAAGAAAGAAAAAGATGATATTTGTATTAAGCCTGATCCTGTAGTAACAACAGCTGTTCAGGATTCAAGTTCAGCTCTGAGGATATGCTACATATGCGGTTCAAAGTGTTCTGGAGGACGTCACTATATTCTTAGTTGTTATCCAGCCAAATCGGAAACTGGGACAAGCTCGCCATTTTTCCCATTTTTGGCAAATCGTGATCCAGCTCCCAATGCTGAGAAAATGACTGCAGCGGGGACAGCCTATGCCTGTAGGTATTGCTACTTTAATCTGTTACGTCAGTGGAGTGACTTCGAAGCCTCGCAAGATCCAGCACATTCAAATCGCTGGGTACGGAGATATAACATCAAGGATTACACATGCTATCTTTGCGTTAAAGTAACAAGTAGGAAATATGTACGGACAATCTCAATACGAAGATATCCCTTTCTACGCAACCTCTCACAGCCACCTAATGGTATAATTGTCATCACGGACAGTGAAAGTGTTGTCGTTTGTGCAGACTGTGATAAAAGTCTAGCCAGCCAGTTTGCAAAGTTTGACCAACAGGGGACACCACTGGATCAAAGGAGGTACCAGCTGCCCAGTGGCAAAGCTTTGGTAAGTCAACATTTTTTACATCATGCTAATTTTATAAAAAAAAGTTGAATTTTAGTAATTGTATCATTTGCATCATTCTGGTTTATCAAGGTCTTTCTCTCTCTAAGATATTAGATTTTTAATGAACATCTCTTAGTGAAAATTTCCAGATGTTTTTATTGTTGCATAGGATTATAGCTTTGAGGAGAGCAGATGAGTAACATCTTTATATCTGGTGCAAATACTGTAATTATCGCCATGAAATATGTCTTTATGTTCAAACAGAATAAGAAAAAAATTGAAAGGAATAAAAAACAAGGAATAATGATGAATAAATCAGATGTAAAGATATATAAGTGAATATTACTTTACTCTTTGGATTAGAGTACTTTCTACTACTACCCTCTTCAAACCAACCTCTTGAAAAGGGTTAAATAGCATAGAATAGTAATTTGACGTAGATACATTATTTGAAGTATGGCCTCCACATGTTGTATTTTCATCTCTGATCTTTACCTCTTTACAGGTGCTCTTTGCTATCACCTGTTGTAAGGTTAACCATTCTATTTCCAGAATACCAAAAAATTAAATCCACATTTTATTAACCCTCATATTTTTATGTAAATGTTGGGTTTCTTTAGTTTGTATTTGTTTAGTTTGGCCAACGTTGATATGGATAATTCAACATATTAAACCAATCCATCATCTTGGTCCATCAAGCTTTTAAGATATGACTGAAAACAATATAGTTTGGTTGAACAGTTTCTCAGTTTATTAATAAACAATGAAATTAATATTAATAAGAATACACATGTATAAAAAATACATTTGAACACTCCCTTGCACCTCAGTGGTTCAACCACAACTTGTTAGAACTAAATCAAAGTGTAAACCAAATAGTTTACAATCAAAAATGTATTTTATCAGTTCCCTTGAACTGACATATTGCCGAACAGAATGTTTTTGATATGTGTGAACAAAGATTGATAAGCTATCACACTTTTATAATCATAAATGAAATGTTAGTGTGACCATGTTCTTGTTAATTAACAAGGAAATCCATGAAAATTGGTCAAGTCCATGTTAAATCAACGTTCACCCCAAAAATCTATTTTTTAAAACATAATCCCCCTAAGAGTAAGAATAATCCTCCTTCTACCATTGATTTGCAGAATATATTGAACACATGTACACTGAACACAATACATATGAAATCTTCTAGAGAGCAAGAATTTGATACCACCCCAACCAAGTTCATGTTTTGACTCAACCCCTTATAAGGTCAAAACTGCTTTTAATTGTTAAGATACCTTAGGAATGTCTGTCAGTCCTATCCAATAGTGCTTCAATCTTATAAAGGTATTTAGGAAGCAATAGATTTGTGCTCTGGTTCCAAACAGCATCTTTAGCTCCTAAGGTACTTATAATATAAGATATATGAAGTGAGAGGAACTCTAACCTTGTAAATCAAAATGAGCAAACAAAAATGTTATTGTAGATTTATTGTACACATTCCTCTAAACTCTTTCATCAAATTTGCCTCAGCTGTGTAATTTTTTATCAAACTCTGGGAAAAAGCAAGTAATTAATTAATAAATATGATATTATTTCATCCTTTATACTCTAAGTCCAGGACCTAGTAAGATGCAATGCTATCTGTCTGAGCTTGAGGAGTCAATTGAATACAAAGGGTGATTCATTAATGAATGCAAAATATTTTTTAGCCATGTATTGAAAATTGTAAGGTAAAAGAACACTGGTTAGCACCCCACCTGGATGCACTTGTTAATGGATTTAGATAAAAGTTTACTCAATGTATGCTTTTGATAAAAAAAACTTGGAGTTATGCCATGTGTTAATGCATTTGTATGTTCGGGTGTAAAACCTAGTAAAAGCTTGGGTTGTTAATGTGCAAACTGTTATCATTAATAACAACAATTTGCCACTAACTTTGAAACTTACAACATTAATGATCAATGACTGGTGTTAATTGACTATTAAGTCATGTCATGCTATTAAAAATAATTGTTAAAAATATACAGACATATTAGATCAAAATTGATTTGATTCTGATAGAGTGGCCTCAAAATTAATTAGATTCACTTTCTCATGAAGCATTAAATCCAGATGTGCAAAATTATGGCTTATTTGCGTATTCCTTCAATTTTTGCAGGAAATACATTGATTTATCATTAAGCTGTTCAATTAAAGCGCTGGTAACACCTGTGTTGAACTGGCACTTTATACAATAGCTAGACCCACACAGAAATATTTAAACAAACTTCTCTTAATTATTTTTATGAGAAGATATGTGGAATATTGGTGAAAAGCCGTTGTGAGGCCCCATGACGTGTTCGGTCTTACAAACTGATAGACTAGCTGTCATAATCTACGACAAGATTCATATTTTTTCAGATTAGTATAATATTTTGTAGAGGGATATGATTCTCTGTGGTTGTTCAAAATGAATTCAAATATTCTTACGTTAGCCTACTTGCTACTAAAAATAGAAACTTCACAGAATTTGACGGTAGATTAGTTTTCGGATCAAGCTAACATTAATTTTTATCATAGTTAATTGATTGGAAGGCTTTCATTTATAGCCTTACCCTACAATTAATATTTCAGCAGATCTGTGATTGATTTTCTGGGAAGGTGGTATTCTACCTTAGATGAAATATCATGAATTGCTGCACTCTATCTTGGATCAATCACTTCTCCATTCTGTTAAGCTACCCAATTAACCAATGTAGATATAGAGATAATCCAAAATGATGCATGCACATTTTAAAGAATATTGTTAATGAATATTTAGAATTGAAAAAGGATAGAGTTTAATAAACATTTGTTAGAAGGGGAGTTTTGTTAAATCCATATGCCAAGTGAGTACTTTGGATCAATTTCACTCATTTTTTCTTTGATCATGATGGCTGGAAAAAGTGGCAAAGTATTATAGAAATGATATCTGGCACATCTATGTGATGTATACAACTTATATGATGTATAATTGTATTATTTTCATATCATATGTACATGTCATGATTATTCTGTTGGACCACTCAGATGGTTGTATTGCAACATTTTTGAAATAAAACTTTTATTTTATAGAATCATTTGAAATGACATTTATGCGTAACATATTTTTGATTTTCAAGGTATAAAATTGAAAAGTGAGTGTATTGTATGATTTTTCCAGGTGTTTCCACTTTATAAAAAATCTTATGAGATGTCAGTTGAGGTCTTAGGCGAGATAGGGTTACTTGTAGACCTGCTGAATTCTCCTTTATATAGCGAACCCACAGGCTCTGTATGTACAGTCTATTGTGATATCCAATACCACAGTCTCCTGCAATAGATAGCCCAGCCAACAAAAATCATAGATAAAAATAATTTCATAAATTTATGTTGCTTTTAAGAATAAACAAAGGAGTTTTTTTTTAATTTGTGGAGCTTGAAATTCTATTGATTATTTTATGATGGTTTCTTTTCTTTTTAATTTCATTTTGAGATTCTGACCACAGTTGTATTTTTTGTACAGGTGGGGCTATAGTACTTCTATAGGTTCATTATCTTTATACATTTATTCTGGACTCATTCTCAAGCAGATGTTTCTGTTGCCATAGCAACATGTTTTTTTGCATCTTGTTTCCTGCATAAATTCGTAAATTATTTGAGCTATCAGCTTTTGCATTTTTCATTTTGATAGCATTTTAATTAGAAATTAAGTGGATTTATTTCTGCATTGAAGGAATAATAAGACAAGTTTATTAGATATGTGATATTCTCAGAATAATCAGGTGTTGTTACATGTATAGTTCAGCACTTCTTCCCTAGTCTTTATTTCGTTATAACTATATTTTTTATATAATTCCGTTTATCAGGATAATCAGTAGTGCACATTTAAAACTAGTAAATTTCAACTTGAAGAAGGCATTTTTGAAAAGCAAGTTTACAGATTTTGCCATTATTCTTACATTGAAGGAGTGTGAGATGAATTAGATCTTGTCAGAAAGTTCCCATTCAAAGCACTACCAATCAAGCACTCCTCATTGCCCCTGTATAATCTCACTACCCCAATACAATCTTACTGCCCCAGTACAATCTTGACACCTTGATTGATGTGCTAGAAAATTCTCATGCAACTAAGAATATTTATGCTTGCCAACCTTATTAAAAAATAGTGAATTCATCACATAAAAAAGTAAATGCTCATAAAAGAATTCTTGTTTTATGAAAATGGGGCACAGGCCTGATGTAAAAACAGAACTTATGCGCAATTATTGGCTTGCTCCAATTAGGTGTTCTCCTTGTACATGTAATTGTAAAATACACAGAAATTCACAATTCATGTTTTACAATAGAAAGTGGGTGCAAAGACTAGATGCAAAAACTCGAACTTAGTTAGGCGTGATTATTGGCTTGTTTCAATCAGGTGTTCTCCCCCTGTTGTAATTATACCTTTATATTCTCATGCTAATAATCTCGTCTATTGATCCTGCCATATGTTTCTCAATTGTTCTATGTCTGAAGCTTTGTTGTTCGTGTTATTACATTGAAGATGATGTCTGTTTTTTGTGTAGCTAAGAACACATCAGGGCACACTTGGCAGCATTGAAATGGAGTTAATGAGTGCATTTATTAAGCACCATTTAGGGGCATAGGGTTATTAAAGCATATTGAATACAGTATTATTATCATATAAAGAACCATTTTTAATAAATCTGGCTTTTACAACATTGCACCAGTTTATTTTGGTTTCTGTGTATGTATACATGTATAAGACTTTCCTCTATAAGTTTGCTAACTGGTGTTTTCCATAGAAATCTCCCCCAAAAGGTACAAAGCTATCTCTGCTAGCATTTTGGGCTCATAGGATGAATGGGGTCAGACTAGTCAACAAAACATTAATTATGTACATTGCAGGACAGTATTCCCATCAATACAATCATTAAAAGCATTTTGCATTTTTCATGTGTCATTTTATCTGCCTGACCATCACCTAGAATATTTCCAAACAAGTC